GGAGGTAAAGACTGGATGGATTTTGGATTCCAGTCAATCAGACGCGCCTCTGACTCCATTCCAAACTGCTTTGCCGAGTTTGCGTCGTGTCGGGATTTTGGCTCTCGAGATTATGGTTTGTTGGGATTTTGGCTGTCGGCATTATGATTAGGGTAGAAGTAAGAGGATGAGTCAAAACTTTTCCCCGCGTGAAATTGAATCGGCCCCTTTCAGCAGCGGTGACTTCGAAGCCGGAAGTCCCATGGGACTCGATGAACTATACAGTGCAAATTAAGTTATAAGAACAATTAGGAGGAGTTTGCATGAGCATGTTTTCGTATGGCCAGACATTTCGAGCGCCGGCGCCCTAAAAAGGGCGCCGGTTTTCGAAGTGACTACAGACTGGTGGCTATAGACAGCTGGTTGGGCGGCTAGTTTCTTGAAAAGGGATGGATGGGCCATCCCACCCAAGGCCAATGGAAGGGAGTAGTGGTTGGAGGTCGAGGGGAGGCCCGACGGCGGCAAGTGCTTTTTCAAAAAGCGAAAAAGCGCTCGTCAGAATGGGGGTAGAGGGGCATGGGAGGCATTTAAGGGCTTCCTAGTGTTTATGGGCTTACGAAGGGCCCCATGAGCACCCCTCCTTCACTGGCCTAACGGGGGAACCTTATGATGGATGGCACGAGGGCTCTTTTGCTCTTTTCATCGTCCCTCATGTTAACCACGAGAAAACGTGAGCGGTACACCGCGTTCTACTTCCAATCGGATGCGCCGCTCCTAGGAGCCTTCTCCACAATCTTGAAACTCCCAATATCGAAAATGCCTAAAACCAAAAACTCCACAACTCCAACTAGCCCCTGGAAACAAATCGTTTCCAATATTTTCGGTAGTAGGAATTTGATAAAACACGGCCCAATACTTGTTGCGGGATTGAGAGAATTCGGGTTTAAGAATTTTTGAGATAGCGTACTTTGGCGATTGGAAATTCCAGACAAAGAATGTATGATGCCAGGTCTTAGATCAAATATCCCTGATGAAACATTGCCCCAAGGAGCAGACGAAGCGCTGTCCTCTCCAACACACAAAAAAATAGTGTAATTAAGTGTCCGTGCAATCTCGCGTCCGCCAATTTCCGTCTAGATTAACGCCTTTTTTTCCCAATGACCACCGGGTTGGCGGTTTATGGACGGAAATTAACCAGAAGAAAACGCAAAGCCATAGCTCCCCCGGGCAAAAAAAACCCATAAATTTTATAAGCTACGTCAGCCGCAATCGGTGTGCGAGCCGGGCCCGCCTGCAATTTCCTTTTTTTTGGCAGGGAGAGAATTGGGCGTTTGGAGCAGACTGTTTTCAGAAACGACCGAGACCAGTCAGAAAAGGAAAAAAACCCAAGGCTGGGGAACCCCCCTGTCCTTAAATGGTCCTTGTTCGTTATCGGGGGGATTATAATCCTTCATTTAGCCTAACCTCCATCGTAATAAGACAAGACATTTTCATAGCGTTTTAGCGGCGCCCGTTTACTAAAAAAAATGTAAAAAAATCAAAAATGAAAAACACGACTTTTTTACCATTTTCTACTACTTAGGCAAAAAAGTAATAAAAGGCTTTTTATACCTGAAAACGCGCAAACCGCCATTAACTACTTTCATTATTTGTCGCATACCGGATGAACATCTGAAAAATCTGCCGCCCCCCCCCCCCGATAAGGAACCAGAACTGGAGGTAGCTTGGCTTCAAGTGACGAGGAAAACACCACCAAAATGGGTATGGGCTGTCCCTTGAAAATAGAGCCAGGGAAATAAATTGGAAAACGGGAGGTGGCATCAAAAGTACGAGCCCCCTGATGGCCGTTGTTTTTTGGGCAGGGGCGGTAAGACGATGATGTCTCGTCGGCGACGACGAGAAGACAGCTCATTTCATTATCGAAATGGGGGTGGGGGGGCATAGCGCATCTCGTGTCGACCGATTCAATTTACAATTCGCCTTCTTTGGGCCCATGGGTCCCCGGGGGCGGCGACGGCAGTCCGAAACCAGTGACTGGCCGCTGGAGATGGCCTATCAGCCATTCCAACACGCGGCCACTCATGAAGCGGCAGCGCGGCGATTTGTAGCTATAGAGTCCGGGCTAGCCGGGGCTCGCCCAGGATCCTCGGGACGGAAATACCGCCTTATATTGCCTACCGAAAATGTAGCCGATTTCGGGAATCGTGGGGGGGGGCACCAAGGCGCAAATCCGGACTTGTAGTTACCTGACCTTGCCTTGCGATTTAAATGGCAAAGTCACGCGAGGATATTGTAGCTTACAGGCCGAGTTCCGGCAGGGCAATTCTTACTAGTCACGATACAGAGGCTTCGCTAAAGCTGAGAAATCTCAACAGCCTCCATTGCTTGCAAATATGAAAACAACGGTACTTATCTTTTATCCGGGGGGGGCGGTCGGGGTTTCTCAATGACCACATGTCGCGAATAGTGGAATTTGGACTAGACTATGCATGCTAGTTTTAGAGAATTTTACGCTGCTTTTAAGGACAAAAAAAAACGGAAGAATTTCTTGGCTCTTGGTCTGCAATATAAAAAAATGGCCAAAAATGATCCAAATATTTAAATTTAAAATCTACAGGAACTTCGCGACTTTTCTTATTGAGAAATTACTAGAACACAATTCAAATTCAAATATAAAAAAATGGCCAAAAATGATCCAAATATTTAAATTTAAAATCTACAGGAACTTCGCGACTTTTCTTATTGAGAAACTACTAGAACACGATTCAAATTAATTTAAAATTATTAGAATTAAAAACCGGGAAGTAGAGACTTATCGAGGAGAGCTCGACGCAAGTCCGATTCCCCCGAAAATTCTAAGCGAGCCGGATATCAAGAGACGGCTGTAGGCCCACGGGAAATGAACCATCGGGGGGCGAAAGTCCCGCCCGGGAAAACGGAAGCCCTATGGCCGGATGAGAACAATTTCCGGTGGCCATCTACCGGCCGGATTGCGGGCTGGCCCCGGGGAATTATGACCCTGCTCTTCGCCGAGGAACCCAGTAAATCCCCTCATTAAATCTGTATTTAGGCGAACAGATGAGTTTCGGGGTTTACACTAGGGCTGGCCTTATTCAAATCAAAGCTACCCTCAACAAACCGAGGAATCGGTTGGGCATACGAGTTTCATTCAAAATTTTATTGAGATCAAGCATGATGAAATTCTCAGATTTGAGGGTGGCTTTGATTTGAATAATATCAGTTCCAGATCGCACAAATGGGGCGCAATCTTTATTCTCAAGTATGCTGCGGTGAGATGAAGCTGGCCCGAAACTCAACTGTTCTTTGACAAGAACAATAGGGCAGCAGTGCCACTGCGGGCTTTGGCCGCTAAGGAATTCCTTCCCGGGGTCCAAGGCTCCCGCCGAAAACCCCGAGCTTGTTGCCTACATGATCAGCTATGCGTTTCTACGGCTAGGGCGGCCCCCTCGACGATGTCTTGCGAATAAGCAAACAACCGGTTAGAGTGCAGTTTACCCCCCAGCCCAGCTCCTCAGCCATACGTCCTATTAATGCGCCGAGTATCTCAAAATGTTCGCCGTGGTCGAAATCCCCTGGAAAAGTTGTTTACTTGCGCCAAAAATTGTTAAAAAAATTTTTATAAGAATTATAAGTCTGGGTTTTCTTTAGTTAATTTTTGCTGTTCCAAAGTGAGTTTTCATATCTCGGCTATCTTTTGACGTACAGAGCTGTCAATGGTACCAAAATGTAGCTCTTGCTCTTTAGAATAAGCCTACAGTACGCTTGGGTCGAAAAAAATAGCGGAAACAAAAATATTTGAGTTTTTGACTACTGGTACATTGATGCATAGCGGCTTAATCTCTTCAACTTTCAAAATTTTGTAAAAAATTTTCTAACAATTTTTGGCGCAAGTAAACAACTTTTCCAGGGGTTTTCGACCACGGCGAACATTTTGAGATACTCGGCGCATTAAAGGGATGCCGACGGCATAGTCAATCGATTACGCGCGGAAAAGAAAATGTCTCTGCGCCTCTCCCCTGGGCGCGCTCTCTGCCCTGTTGGCTACTTGCCAATTTGTTGATGAGGGGGGATCGACACATGCCGTCGGCAGCCCTTTAATAGGACGTATGGCTGAGGAGCTGGGCTGGGGGGTAAACTGCACTTAAAGGGCACGTTCAGGGACGTTTTTTTGGAAAAAAGCAAAGGTTTTAGCCGCGGCCGGGGGTCGAACCCGGGCCCCCCGCTAGAGAGGCGCGGATGGATACCAGTCAGCCACAGCTACAACCTGGCAAGGGGGCGAGGGGCGCCCCAGGCCGCAAAGGAGGGGAATGGCCTGTTACAGCACGGGCAGGCTGTGCGCGCGGTCCCTACGTCCATAGGGTGTACACGTTGGGATGAGTACACGGCCCCTCCCTGAACGTGCGCTTTAAGCCAAACAGCCTTCGCTGCTTCTTGAATACCCGCCACCCCTCCCGCTATTGAAGAAACGTTAGACAAAAATAGCCGTCGCTAAAACACTGCAAACTTGCCGGGTTTCAGTGCGTGTTTTGGAGGGCTGAGACGGATTAGGGGAGAAGCAATACACTGGAAATACCAAGTAATACAAACCTAAACATTCGCAGTAGCCTCAAAATTCGCAAAACTACTCGCAACGTATGAACAACACACAAATTATTGCTGTCTCAAGGCGTGGTGTTAACGAAAACACAATTAACAGCCGAGCACGCCCAAATCCTTGGGCCGACAAAGCGATGGCGCCCATGTCTATTTCTAAATTCCTTGCCCTCCCCTGGTCAAATAATTGGAGACACAACCCGAGCCACCGGGGAGCCCAGATTATCCAAGACCGCGGAATTGATGTCTAGAGGGCGAGAGAGCCTTAATTACTTTCCAGGAAACGGCAAGACCTTTCGGCAAGTAGGTGGTGCAGGATTATACATGCCTAATTATCCATCCATAAATATACCTTCCAGGGCGAGGTTTCGCAACAAGACCCGGGTCATCATCATCAGAGAGGCTCATTTCGACGATTGCTGAAAAGAGAGCCTTTATAGAATCGCAATCAGATTTTGGTACCAAAACATTAATGTCTGGATACTGGCTCTAGGGTTTATGGCTCAAAGTAAAAAAAAATACCAGGCTCTTCTTCATCGTCGTGTTCGCCGGCACTTTCGGACTCTGACTCTGCTCGCTCCCTTCTTCGACCTGCCGCCACCGTCGATTCGCCGTGTTGATCTTCCGCTTCCGCCTCATCATCTTCTGATGGCATTGGCCGGCTGACTACGGCGTCCAATTTTGGGCAATCTTGCCTTGCTCGGAGCGCTGCTTTAGGCTTTCGAGCTAGCTGTTCCGACTTCGCGCCAGAATTAATCTCCTTACGATTACTAAAATCAGCGTCAATCCAAGCTCAAAAGCCAGCTCTCACATCACTTCACCGTCCCTAATCGCACACAATGTTCGGGCCAATCCACCAGCGGTTAAGGGTCGATCACAGGGGTCTTCAAAGCACAGCCAACTGGAAAAAAATTTGGATATACACCAAAAAATTGCATACAATCTGGTGAGCTCCGAATCCCTTATGGGTACTTCGTTATCGAGTAGTCGCTGAACGAGGTCGGTTATCGGTTTTGCCTTGAGGGCTTCAGGGCTGCAGACGCGCAAACATAACGCCAACACCCATAGCTCCTTTTCAGATGAGCAGCCATCCTGAATAACGGGGTTTAGAAGATGGAAATAATCAACACCTCACCATTTGCCTTCTCGCAATCGACGCAACAGCCCCATCGACAAGCCGGTAAATGGCATCTATGATGGCCTTCTCATCGCTGGATACGCCCAATTCGGAAAGTACACCAAGCAGCGGGACAATCGCCTCCATTGTAATGCACTAAAATAGGGATAGAATCAAATATCCCCCCAATGATCCACACCTCTTCCAACAGGCTGTCGACCAAACGTTGATGGACCCGGGTCATCTAAAAAAACCAATTTTAGAAACGAATGAGCCATCCATACGAAGTAGAACTTGGATAGTACGTGCAGGAACCTATCCACAAATGGAGAATCGACTAGCACGGCTAGAAAGGCTGGATCAAGCGAACATTTTACAGACGTACTTGTTTCCGAGTGTTCTTGAAAGATCTTCTGGATGTTTGAGGTTGCGCCAATAAACGAAAATCGGCAATGAAGAGCCCGATAGTGGAAGTAGAGGCATTTCAGGACATCCCTAAAGTATGAATCCCCAAGGTGCGATATAAGGAAAAGCCATTGCACGCATTAAAAAAGGGTTGAAAAAGCCAGAAGTAAAGGCGATATCGAGAATATTCTTGAAACTGCCGCATGCCCAACGCGGACCGGAAAGTCAAGGAACGAAAAAACTGGTTACCAACCGTTTGGCCAATAAGAGTCCCCGTTGGTTCCACGGGTCGCCAAGCAGCGGTAGAACACGAATCGAAGCCGCGTAGAGTTCATCCGCAGCGCTCAAATTCCCCTAGGGAAATTACGCTAGACTACAAGCTCGTTACCTTGTATCTCATCACGTCACCCACGCGCAGGCAGATAAACGACTCGAATTTGCGCGACCGTATCCGAGAAAGCGTTTGGGGCCCGGAGTTGTACATCGAATCGAGGGCCCTAGAAAGTTTTGGAGCTTGTAAAATCAAATTCAGCAGACTTTAAAAACGCCGGGGCTGCCTCAAAGGTGAATGCGCAACCCGATTGAACTAAAAGCGCCAGATCGACGAACCATGATAGAGACATATTGCAGGCATTGATTCCATTCTAAAAAGGAGGTTTGCTCTTAGTAACCCGAAGCAGCCGGCGCTATTTCGGAATAGGGGACCCACTTTTCTTATACCAAAACTGGGGGTTGTGCGATGTTTTCCTGGATAGTTTTGCGCGCTGGTCCCGAAAAAACACCTTACAATTTTAAAACCTAACATTTTCACAAAAAAAGATTTTAGTTTAATGGGCTGCTAGGGAACCTAGCGGCGCAGGCCCGACTTTTGGCTACAATACACTCCTAGCTCCGTTTTTGGAGGATAAGCTTAAACGTATGCATAATAATGCTAAATGCTAGTAAGCCCGATCTTAGATTGATTGAGACCAAGCCTAGGCGACCCTGATGACGATGATGACGTGAGTAGAGCCCACCTGTAAACTATGCTGGCTCTTCGCCCCTGTAACGTAAAGTAAGGTCGCGATAAGCTGTTATTAAAACACAGAAGCGTGTTTGTTCCAATACTAGATTATACTTAGCGCATGTGTTCCAGTCAAGTCAAGCTCAAGCCAAAACTAGAGTAATCCAAGTGGGTTGCTAGCAAGTTCGCTGGCCACGCCAAGACCTCCCGTCTCGTGTCCTAAAGACATCCTATCAAGATAAAATATTTTTGTACAAATGTACGTTTTCACGGGCTGGGACACCGTATTTGGGAACAAGCGCGCAAAATTGCACCAGAAAAAGTGGTTTTCAGGGTAATCAAAGTGGGTCCCCTATTCCGAAATAGCGCCAAGCAGCCTACGTATTTGACTGTGGTCATGTCATTGGAGCCTTTAGATACGGAGTCGATCATCTCCTTGGCCATCTTCCACAACTTTTGCTCGAGATGAGCCGTCAACGCTTCATTGACATTATGGTGAAACGCTTCCAAAATCAGCTAAATGCACTGAATTGGTTTTTTAATAGTCACACCTCAACCGACGGTAGTATATAAAACCGTTCTTTGTTTACAGCGTCTCTACGAAGGTCGAGCTGTCGAAGTTTGGTGTGGATTCCCGACAGTTGATTCTGGGTATCCATCTGAAAAACACCCTGTCAAAAATCTAGTGTTCTGTTTTCAAGGATGTTTTCGATGCTCATAACTCTTCATCATAGATTTTCAAATATTCCTAACCTCTCGGTAATGCAAAACCGCGCGTGCCAACCGGTGTGCCGTATCCAGAGTTTTGTCTGATAAAATGTTTATAACATTAAATGGAAGCGTGTTAGAGCACTGGGAAGCAGAACAATAAAAGGTGGTGGCCCAAAACTTAGGGGTCACAATGTGGACAGCTTGGTCGTTTGGTGGGAGATGTTAGTGGGTGGGGATGTTTGGGGGAAAGTTATCGAACAGAAGTGCGTCCAGCACAAAACCTTGTGGCGGTAGTGCTCTGGTTCGACGCTGCACAGAAAACAAGCCCAGGATAAGAGTTCAACATAATTGGGCGGTATTAACAATTACGACAAAGGGGGTCAAAAGGAGAGAGATGATCACACAGATTTCACAGGTTATTCTCACAAACCCATTGCCCACAATCCAATCAATGGCTGAAGCTGGGTGGGGGTATGATATCACAAATAGGCACGAACAATGTGCCGCAAGCTTGTGTGAAATGGTAATGGATAATTAGATCAGCAACGAAGAGAACACGGCCGAATCAACCCTCATCAGTCCAGGAAGCTGGCAGCTGCGTCTAAATGAAGGGTTTTTCAAGATAACGAAAAGCGAATAGCCTCGGCGATTGGAAAAAAATTCCGAAAAGTGCGTATTCTGAGCAAGTGACTACCCAAATAGTTCGGGTAGCCGACTTACATGTAGCACTTCATGTTTTGCATTGCGACAGAAGGCTTCTCGAAATTGTCATGTTCCTTACGCTTGCTCCAGAATTCGATACTCGTTGTGTGAAGAAGTGGTTCCGAGGCGGATCGGGTCAATTTCGGCAACGCGATTTCCTGCAGGCTATCACTGACCTAAACGGAACAAATCATGTTATCAAATATTACGCATACATCGTTGAACCCAGGGCGGTCATTGCGATCGAATTTTATACATCGGTCCATCAACTCCTTCAACGCTCTGGGGCAATCAGGGCGAATCTTGGACGAATCGGGCCGGAGGAAACCGCGACCAACCTATTCCAGAAAAAATAAATACAGTCTGAAGCTACAAACCATAAATAAAATTTGGTCGCGGCTGTTGATGTGGCTGTATGGAAGCAGACCGGCCAGCACCTCGTACATCACGATTCCAAACGCGTAAACATCACTTTTATAGGTGTAAGGATTCGGGTCCTGCATCCGAATCACTTCAGGAGCCTATAAGACACCAGAAATGGTCAGACGATCACCAAGCCTACCATCCAAAGTATGGAGCCTGTAGGCTGCTGACTTTGATGCGCACCGCTCCATCGCGTCTTGACAGTGGCCAGTCCGAAATCACCGATTTTGACGGTATTATCCTCCGTCAAGAATATATTGTTCGATTTCATATCCCTAAAAACTCCGATGAGTTGAGAGGCAAGCTGTGCACCTGTGTATGATGCGCTTGCTGTGCAAGAAGTACATCCCCAGGGTGACTTGCTTGAAAATATCGAGGACACTTGTTAGCTCAAATTCCTTCTTCGGCTCCACAACATGAATGTGTCTAAATAAAAATAACAAAAAATCCGGTGAACACATACTTGTACAATGAACTGCCTTCGCACCATTGCGTGACGATAGCCAGCTGCGGCTCACGCACCCAGCCCATAAAGTTCAGGACGTTCGGGTGCCGAGTCTTCTTTAGCAATGCAACCTAAACAATCATGAAAAATGCAGTAGTCAAAAATAACCTCATTTTTGAAGGCTTGGAGTTGTGACGGATTCGGGTCGAGGACATTGAGGCGCTTCAAAGCCACGAGCCCGAAGTATTCAGCACGGAAAACTGTCCCGAATGATCCAGATCCGACTTTGAACTGGCAAGATATCATCGCAGCATCGATCTAGCACACAAATTGTCATACGCCGAAAAAAGGTCTAGTACCTCCCAATCCTCCAACTGCTTTTTAGTCTTTGACCGAAGCGGCTGAATCGTATCCAATTTGTCCCCGGGACTTTTGCTTCGACCGCGGAAGAACTGTGTCGAAACCTAAAACATACACTAAGCAAAAAAAAGTCGCCAAACATACTTTTTGAGGCGGGGCGCTCTGTGGAGGCGTGAGCGGCATCGCATTTGGGAACAGATGAGACGGATGAAGCGAGTGCGCCGGTGGCGATGAACACGTTGAAGAGGGTGATGTAGATGAACACGGTGATCCGCCAGTTTGAAGTCTGTTCGTCGTGATCAATCGCTGTGCACCCGGATGACGAGCAGAGTTCATTATCTTCGGATCATCGCGCTTTTCGAGCTCGGCCATAACGCGCTATAAGTACAGAGATTGTGAAGATAGGAGCAATTCGAAAATCTGCCGTTGAAAATATTACATCGTGCTCCAGGCTCGCCCCCTCTTCGTTGATGGCATTGATATTTGGCGCCGACGAGGAGCGATCGCGCGGATATGGGGCTGAGGATAGGGTTGACGCAGTCGGAGTGTGGGTGATGTGAGGGGCATTGCTTCGTTTCACGGCGCGTTTTCTGACAAGGTGAAAATTGAAAATAGCTTATGGATAAATTTCTAATCTTCAAAAGCAACCACGCAGGTACGAATCACCTTTGGATCTCCCGGTCGCCAGGGCTGTGCTGCGGTTGTCGGACAGACGGTGATGAAGGCTCGATGAACTTTGTGAGAATTTCTTCCGCGAATTGCCCGTCAGTGCTTTGTGTACACAAGTCCCGGAGCTTGTTCAGGATTGTCTAAAAACATCATTTATTTTCCAACAATTCAAGTACCTCATCTCCTCGCTGTAAGAGGTCGCAGTAGATCGGAATTTTTGAGCTGCATCGTTGGTGGAATTTGACATTGCAGTACTCACAGCGGTAGGCCTAATGAAAAATGACAAAATTCAACTGGCTACTCACAATCCACATTTGCCGCTTGCACGCATCGCACGTTTGGGGTGGGATGAACGTCTTTCTAAAAGCAAAAAATAGGCGGCCCAATTTATATTCCTTACCTTTGGAACGTGTGCTCTATCCGGTTGACGGTGTCCAAGTACTCGCTGTGCACCCAAAGTTCCTTGTTGGCGAGACGATTCGCGATGACTTCCATTTCTTCCTAAAAACAGGGATCAAATAAATCGAAAAATTCTAACCGTGAGATCAAGACGCTCAGTCTTCGGGTTTGACGAATCACTGACGTGGCATAGCGACGGCTGGATCCGTCGCTTATGCAGCACCTAAAAACCTTGTAAAAACAAAAACAAAATGAGTTACCCGTGCGATGGCGTCACACGCTGACTCGCCGCTTCTCACCTCGACCTTGGAATGCAGGCCGAAGGGGAGATGCAGCAGTACCAATTTTGTCGCCCTGCAAAGAACAATATAAGCTGAAAAAAAATATGATTCTTACTTTTTTGGCGACAAAATTGGCGACTGAGTGGCAGTGCTGGCGCCAGAGAAGGGCTGCTGCGTCGAGAGCGTCGATGGTGGCGAGCACGGGGACAGCATCGGCGACTGGTGGCGAACCATAGGGGAAGAGCCCGTTGGGAGAGACATTCTTCCCTTACGGTGCCACCAGACGGCTCCACTTTCACACGGGTTTTTTTTTGGGTAGCGCGTGCCTGGAATGAAAAAAAAATAGTTGTAGACAGCGTCCGAATAAAGGAGAGATAATAAGAAAAACGAAAAGCTTATCAAATCACGCTCAATATCATAAAATTACAATCTGCTGTAGATCGAAAATGCTTGCGCGCAATAGACACCATCCGATATAGAAACTACCGGCCACAATCCTTTTGTCTAACACATCGGAAGTGTTTCGCACTTATTTCGCAGCTTTTAGGCTTCACCAAAATGTGCAGATTCGCTGGTTGGGAACATGTTTCGGCTTAGAGATTAATTTTCCGCGGCACTTGCCGAGATCGATCGATTCGCCGGGCAGCAATAAAGTTTTCTTACAAAGCTCCGAGCCCAGCGACGTCGCTAGGGGAAGCCTGGGGCTAAGATTTCGAATGTAACACATCCGCCTAGCCTTTCTGATAGATTTAGCTGTTTGATCTGGGGATTTCGAAGGTCGTAAATAAGGCCAAAGGCCAAACATTTAGAGTTGGAGAACGCTTCATTGAGCGATTAGCTTTTTACAGAGGAGCCGGCATGACGGGCGATTGGGTCCCGCGACGGGCCCTGAGAACGATCAGCTGTCCCCAAGACCCACTTGCTGACATTCCGTGCCAGCCCCGTCGAAAGCGAGCTTTTCATAGAAGAACTTTTGCCGCTGGATTCTGTTTTGGCTGGAACTTGCAAAGTTGGACAATTTCGAAGATTCATACGTTTTGTACGCATCGAACTGTGTTCTAGGGAGAGAGCGCTAGATAACGAGAGACACCCCCTATCCTCTGCCCCCACTATTTCCAACCACAGAAATCGCTCGGATTTTCCGAATATTGGTCGCGCTGTTTCAAAGAAGTAATCATCATTCCGGATACAACTAACTCTGCAATTCGTACATTGTCTAGTTACGTTTTCCGCTCTGATTCGAATATTCGTGAACGTCGTGTACGGTATCAATCTTTCGGCCCATCTTTTCTCTATTTCCATGCTTTCCTTACACCTCACTCGCTGTCACGGGACTTTCGGCCAGCCATCTTTCCCCGGGCAATCAATTTTATGATTTGCCCAGATTTTTTTATTTCAAACGGTGATACGTGTCCTGATAGACCAGAAATAACTTTAAAACATTTGGGGGACCTTCTAGGGTATTTCAAAAAACAAGTCCCGGTCTGCAATTTTCGGGCTCTCTCTCTCCCTCTTCTGACTTCTGTACATTAAACTTATTGGCTTTCTTTAGGGTTTGTTGAATACAGCGAACCATGACTCAAGAGGACGTCGTCGATGAGCCTATGGATGGTTCAAGGTCGGTCTTGCCGCAGGGGGCTGATGAATCTTTTGTTTCAGCGAGGTCAACGTCCAGAAAATTACCACCAAGGATCAGCTTAGCGCGCTGATTGATGACGTGGAGAACACGCGTCTTGTTCAAAACGATACTTGGTAATTTTCGCTGCAAGCCTGGCATTCTCTTTAGGTACGTGTTATCGACAGATTGGTGGAAACGCCTTGTGCAAGCGGCCGGCGCCGGTTACTTGGAGGATATTACGCCAATCGATTGCTCGAAAATATCCGAAAAGCGAGGTACCCAAACTCCACTTGCATCTAAATTTTTTAGGTGATCGTTGGTATATGAAGCAAAACCAGGTCGAGGGCTTGGACTACCAGTTAGTGCCAAAAGAGGTGAGGATTTTTTAACTTTTTCGGCTCGGCGTGTATGATCTCATGGTAATCATCTCGGTTTTCAGCAATTCCTCGCTTTCTACAACACGTTTGGCGCTGTCGATGATGACCGAGACGTGATTCAGCGGAAGGTGGAGCTCCATCCGGTCAAGCAAGAGCTATTTGTTGAAGTCTACGCCAAATTTCTGACGGTTCATATATACTTTCATTCAAAACCTTGCTTAGGTCTCACTGGCTCGGGATCGTAAGCAAACAGCCACCTTGCCGGTGGTTCCAACCGACACCGTTCGTAAGTTGTTGATTCGTTGCGTAAATTTTTCTTAGGGACTCTCGGCACCAAGGCCGTTCAAGCTCTCGGACTGGGCCAGACACCGCACAATCGGCTCCGTTTCTATATTCATCACCAGGTCTGGTCTATTTTTAATATTTTTAATATGACGGATTCTTCTAGGACGAAGATCGTTACGAGTTGCTGACGATCGAGATGAAGACCAACTGGGAGCATTTCTTCACCTTCAACCAAGTGGTGTGTTTCTTGAGGGCAAGAGTACACTCTAAATTTACTAAAACTGCATTTTTTATATTGCAGGTTCTGATTGATGTGCTCGATGACGAGGGCAATGGAGTTATTCAGCCGCCCGCGCCGCGGTCTCGGAACGGCCCATCGATGAATGGTGGAGGAAGGTGAACTTTAGTACCTCCGTTTTCACACCGTGCTGCACCTGATTAATTGCTTAACCTCGTGGTATTAGCTCACACCGCTGGTTGCCGTTCTTCTTTGTGACCCTTCACGGGGTCCTGTGGACAATAGTGGCGCCGATTTTCTCGTTAGCCTTCTATATCCCGTACGTCCCGGAGATTGTCTATTCGGGTCCGGCACGTCGGCTCCGCCGAATCCTCCGATTGGCATTTGGCGGGATCCTCGGGGACATGAGGTGCGTTACTTGCCATCGAATTAGTTCTTGTGAAGCGCGTGTGCCCGTTATCCATCCAGGTGACAAAGCTCTTTCAAAAAAATTCTGGCGCTGACGATCCGATTTTATCAATTTCCCAAAAAACACATTCTTTACATTGTCGTGTTGATGGATAACTGGCAATCAAGCTTTTCGTTGGCGAGAAACGTACCTCCCCTATGATCTATTTTTGTCGCTAATCCTTGCTTTGTCACTTGGGGAGCGGCGCTATTTTTGGCACACTAATCCATTAATTTTTTCAGCCTCTCCTATGCGCGTGTTGCCGACCAGATCCCGGGCGTTTGCGGACTTCAAAACTTGGGTATTATTACTTTCCGATGCTGAGGTTTTGTTTAGGCAATACTTGCTTCATGGCTTCTTCGCTGCAATGTTTGTCCAATGTGCCGCCGCTCAGACAATACTTTTTGTCTGGTCACTACAAGGGCGAGGTCAACGAACAGAATCCGCTCGGAACTGGTAAGCCGGTTTCCGATCGGTGGCGTTTAATCAAACGTCTAGGTGGCGATTTGGCCCATGCCTTTGCTGACCTCTTGGAGCAGCTATGGAGCGGAGAAAACAGCAGCATCAGCCCGAGGCAAATTAAGGTATCAATTTTATTTTTATTGAGATACGTGCCTTCGGTATTACTTTCACGGCCCCCTTTCAGACCGTCATTGGACAGATTGCGCCCCGCTTTAGCGGCTTCAGCCAACAAGACTCCCAAGAATTGATGGCCTTTGTCCTGGACGGTCTGCATGAAGACTTGAATCGGATCAAGAACAAGCCCTACTTTGCGGATAATGACGAGGACGAAAATAAGTCTGACGAGGAGGTAACTTTACCTATAATTTCTGAGCCCAATGTTTTTTAGTTGGCCAAGCTGCAGTGGGATCAGTACAAAGCACGTAACGACAGCATCATCGTCGACAAGATCCACGGGCAAATCAAGAGTACTTTGACCTGTCCCACATGCATGAAGGTAGTTTGTTCTTTCGTCTATCTTTATTGAAAATCTCCCAGATATCCATCAAGTTCGACCCGATCTGCTTCCTTTCCCTGCCGCTGCCCATCCCTGAGAAGCAATTTGAGCAAATGTTTTTGTTGATGCAGCCTGACAAGAAATGGGCTCTGGTAAGGACTTTGAAAGAGTTTATTGAACATCCAAAATTGAGCTTTGATAGAATGTTTTCATGAAAAGGTGGCAGAGAGGCGACCTGCTGTAATTCTGCCTAAATTGTATTGATTTTCCTTCTAGTTAAATACGGCCTAAGCTCTAGTTTGACTTTTTACATGCACAAAAACCCATGAATTTTTTTCTATGCACATTGCACATTCCACCCGCACATACACATATTGGAGCCATCGAAATTTCGTTTTATTTCGATGCGCGGCCGCGCGCCAAAACATTGCACATGGTAACCTGCTTAGGTATTATTGGCCCCGACATACACATAATATTCATCAGGCGCTTGTTCTTTAGCCATCGATTTACACACTTATCAGCTCTAACTGAAGACATTGCACATTGTCACCTGCGTAGAAATGATTGTAAAAATCGTATCTAGGTTTAAAATTAGATACTGCATTGCACATATTCCCTGCTGCCATTTAGAAGTCCGGTCTTTTTAAAATAAATGAAAATCCATAATGACAACCACTTACCTGGTCCGAAACTTACCTGCCCGCCCGTACTTCCGCTATTAGACATTTAAAATTGTGCTAAAAAGCCTATAATTCGCCGGGGATAGCATCATCCCGAGCTTTTGGCAGAATTGGCGATAGCCAAAAATTCTTGTCATAAGTAGGCTCCACCTGAATAATGAAATCTAGGACTCCATGCAATTCTGTACCTTTTGGGGTCGGTTCCGTCGCTTTCCTCGTCAACGATGTGACGCATAGCGTCCCAAAGCACATTGTGTGTGGGCGTTAGAATGCCGGCATACTAAAAACCGTTATTATTACTTTTTACGCAAAAACCCGTCGTGCTATTTTTGGAATATTTTTTATTTGTTGGACGACTTACCTCAAGCGCATTATCGGGGTTGAAGAAGAAGAGCGCAGCTAGAATGGCCATTTGCCGTAAATCCATTTGCAGCTCGTGGACCTGTTCGGCAATCAGCAATAGTTCTTTGAGGAGTGATTGTTGCTTCTGGAATACATAGTGTCAGCCTAAGCTAGGAACTAATTGAAACCAACCTCGCCAAAAACACTTTGAAGCACATCGACGGTAATCTTCTTTTCTGGTTCCGGAACAAAGCATTTTTCCGTAGGGTCATAGAATGACAAAAACCGCAAAAGATGGATTTCTAATAGTGAGGCTCGAAGCAGCGATTCTTGGGCTGTTTGATTCAACTGCAAAACTCTTTTTTTGCAAAAACAACTAGCCTCTACCTGGTCAAATGACTTGATGGCCTGCGCAAACTCTCGACTTCGCCTAACGAATGGGCGCAAGAGTTCCATATATGCATTTTCTGACGCGGTTCCGTCAGCATCGGATTGAGGCAGTGGTAAATCAAGCTTGTCGCAGTAGAATTTAGTCACGGTTTCAATTACGATACCGAGTTCCTAATAATAGTTATAAAATTCACTAGAACCAGGGTTGAAAAGCCGCTTCGCGACTTTTCAACCCCGGCCCGGTATAAGCCCATCAAATTCTCCCTTTGCATAATTCGCCCGAATTTGTCATGAGAAATAATGAAAAACGCTCCCTCTCTCGGATTATATAGGCTATCGCCACCTCCGGTGCATGCTAATTTTTTCCTAACAGAGAGGGCGCCCGTTTTTTAAACAAAAAACCATTTTTAATGTTGAAAATAAGAACTTGCAAAATCTTATTCGTGTGCAGTCATCTCGGAAGCATTACGCACCTAATGACGTATCAAACGTATCTTAAAAACTTCGCTCTGTCGAGATACTACTGGAACTCGCTGACGGAAGTTGCATGCAAATGCACACACACACAGAAACTATTTTCTATATATAGTGAGATAACTTACCTTTTGATGTTCTCTTTCGGTGGAAGGTGTCTTCAGAGTGACAAGGACTTCCTTGACGGCTTTCCGCACACGGTTTTCTTTGATGAGATCTCGTTTCTGGGCTCTTTCATTTTCCGTCAGCACCACTAAAATTCGTAAATTTCATGGGAGGCAGAATTTTTCCATGGGATGGAATTTTTGTAATATGAAACGGATTTTTCGAAGTTTTTGTATAGTTTTCCACTTCAAATATAATTAAATATTATTAGCAAGACTATAATTTTTTACGGTGTTAGGCATTTCTGCATTCCTATGAAAAAGTTACCTCTGTTTTGTTATTGAAAGCCCGAATCTCGCAAACACAGATTTTGTTGGGCTTTGTTTAAATAAGGAAAAACTACTTACGGTCAGAGCTCATCCCCACAGCCTTGCACTTGTTATAGCGGCAGCGCTGGCAGCCATTGCGATTGTCTTTGTTAATCGGGCATTGTTCTTGTCCTGTGCGGCACACATAGTCAAGGTGTCTCTGCTCGGTGCGGCGCCAGAAGCCCTTGCAGCCTTCGCAAGTGATGGCCCTAATTTGTATTGTGGGAATCGGGGGAGATTGTTTACCTGTAGTGCAAGCCAGTCGCCATATCTCCACACACGCTGCAAAGCTGACCCTCAGCCATGTAAGATGGTAGATAAATGGGGGCGGAGCCAGCTGAAAGAGCATAATCGTAAATCGGTTAATTAAAAAAGCTTGAGCTCCCCGGGACTTACCTGTGTTTCGTGGGCGGATGGGGGAATTAGTCGGATGTAAAATCTTGGCGGTCATTTTTCAATAACCGGCAAATTGGGCGTTTATGCTAGGACCTGTAAGGACCGTAGGCATAGACTGAGGGATCCATTGGATCGGCGACCGAGCTTGTCCTTAGAGTCCCGCCCCCCGGGATGCCGTGTGGGAGATAGGGCTTGACCCGACGGCCTCCGTTGCGCAACTCCGCCGAGGTGCCCCTCCAGGTCATCCCCGAAGAGGAGCCCGATGGCGCAATTGCGTTCAAATAACGGCTGGGGCTTCTGGCAGCGAAAATGCTAAGCGTTAGCAGCAAAATAAAAGAAAAATGTATCAAATATGATATGGAGTTGATTAAAAATGGAATATTGAGTGCCCAATCTAGCTTTACCCCCAGAAATGTTTAATTTTCAGTTCGCCATGAAGGTCACCAGGAGCACCACCGTTCCCGAGGCCACAAAAATCATCCAAGACGATCTGGCGAAGAGCATTGAATACAAGGAAAAACCGGTAAATTTTTCTCTTGCCTCGACTTCAAACTGTGTTTAGATTGTCCTGTGGAAGATGGACGAGCGTCAGAACGTCCAGTTCCTTCGTGCCGACGACACGGTGGCCATCAATAATTCGTACAGCTCGTACCACCAGCAGCAACACCACAACAAAATTTATGGCATTTTCGTTGGTATGTTCTAGACACTTGTAATCAGGAATTGGCTGACTTTTAGATTCCCCTGAACAACAGCTCATGGTCGTGGTCAAGAACCAATCCGTCAGCAACGAACGCCCCGTTACTTTGCCCTACGTGTTCGCTATCAGCCCGGGCGTCGAAATCAATAGGTAGGCACTAAATTGTTTTTTTTCATGGTGTCATTCAGGGAGTGGGTTGACAATGTGGCGATGCCGACGATCCGTAGCGAATTCTTCAAGGATCCGCAGCTGGTGCATGACGCAGACGAAGGAGTCCCTTATGAGGTGTGGATTTTGGATATCTTTCCCGCGGCCACTTTCCCTGGTACTGGTACCACTGGTCTGCGGGCAACCTCGGTGCCAGACCGCCTGTGGCAAATCGGCGACCGGTGACCCCGGTGAATTATACAGCTCTCTCATAAACTTTACCACCCGGGTACTTGTCCGATCTTTGTGATATGATCTAGCAGGTGGCCCGCTACGTCTAGGAATTACAACTAACCGGCGGTGGGCGACTTGTAAAAAAAAACCCGCGGCCCTCAGCGCAATATTAACGAACATCCCCCAAAAAAAGTGTGTGTTCGCGGTTGGACCTAAGTTTTTGCGCAATTCGCAGCTCGATGCTAGGCCCTCCGAAGCATGGGCTGTTGGACGGAGACATTTTGGGCCTTTTAGCAAATACCAGGCTAGCCAGAGCAACAGCCCCTCGAGCGAGTTGCGCAATTCGCCTAACCTTGGCGTTCGGTTGCCGTTAGGCCCCCCCCCCCCCCCCCCCCCACCATGGGCAGATGGTACGATTGGAATGGAAAGCGATGTGCCGCCGAGTAATACCCGAGAATACGATTATTTTTTAGATCTTTTTCGAGACCCCCGAGGGCCTCTCGCCGTTGAACGAAGAAAGCATCCGCGGGGTCTCCGTGACGACTTTGGTGATCCGTTGGCAGAATCCGCAAATCTTTAATGGGAAAGATGGCAAGGTACGGGACTCGTGTTTGCTACAATAACCACTTTTCAGGCCCTCGTCGATCGTCAGTGCAGGGTCCCTGTGCCGACGCTGATAACGCTGAAGGATTGCATCGACTTGTTCACCAAGGATGAGAAATTGAGCGAGAACGACAGTTGGTACTGCCCTCGCTGCAAGGAGCATAAGCGTGCTACGAAGCGTCTTGACCTCTGGAAGTTGCCTGATGTGAGTTTTGGCTTCTCTGAAAGTACAATGCCGTATAGGTGCTCATCATCCACCTCAAGCGCTTCATCTACGACCGGTGGCATCGCGAGAAGATTGGGATTCAAGTGCAGATCCCGTCTAGGTATGAAGTGAATCCGCGTTATGTATTTTCTTCTGTTTTAGGGGTTTGGAGTTGAACGACAAATTGGCAAATGACAAGCACGAGCATGTCCAATATGATCTCATCGGAATGTCCCATCATTATGGAGTGCTGGCCGGCGGGCACTACAAGGCCACCGGATTGAATCCCAATGGGAAATGGTATGCCTAGAAAAAGGGATAATCTCCTCCGTTAGGTACGAATTCAACGACTCCTCTGTACACGAGATCGCGGCTCCGGATGACCCCTACATCAGCGACAGTCCTTATTTGCTCGTCTATCAGCGAAGGTTTCTTTTTGTTTTCCGGCTCTAAATATTTTGCTTAGGGCAAGCCCGGACGTCCACCATGTCGATGAGAATATTGCGATGGAAGTCAACGAGTAAAGCCATATTTTTACTTCGGTTACATTAGCCAATCTTGGTCCAATGATTGTGATGAGTCTTGTGTGTGTTTTCTACTCGAACCCTTTCAATGTAAATTCCCGATTGCTGGGATTCTCTTTTCACGTGTGCCCAGTCTTCTCAACCCCCAATCTGCTCTCATCTCTTTGCGCTCAATGGGTACGCCTTCCTTTAAGATTTGTCCAAATTCGCGTGTTTCTCCCGTTTACCCCGCGTTGCCACCCTCTGTATTCCGTTCGACTAGTCTAGAGTTTGCTCTCGAGGCGCGATGAAACAAAAACGGGTTTTTTTGCCCCCTGGACGAAAATTACCTGTGCTTTTGTTTCGGGAGCCTTAATTGGCTATGCTCTTCTCCAATGACTTGGTGTTCATACCGGTTCACATGCGCATCCCTTGCTTCATACTCGCGGGCGTTCTTACTTATCCTCCTCCCTATCCAGTAGCACCGCACACATTCTGTACAGCCCATCGGCAATTTTTAGTTGTGATTTGCATTTGCGATGAAAAGTTTTGATGCCCAGATACTAGTGGATAAGAGCACAAGGAACATGGGGAATTGGCAGATTCACGCTTAGACAGGCGTCCTCAACAGCTTTTGGGAAGATTGGGCCTTTGGGTATTTTTAGGTCGGTGCGACCCGCGCCAGTCGCTATGGCAACTGCTGACGCTGGCAGTAGTTAACAATTTCCGGGGGATTCGGACAACAAAATGGCCTCCATTTTGTTAATTATTTGTTTCCTGCATGAGGTTTTGCAAGCTCAATCGAGTGAATGTTTCGCGCTAGCTAAAGGCGCCGATCGGTCCGGGTTGTGGCCGACATTCAACCCGTTCTGTGTCATCCGAAAGGGTAGGACCATCTTGTTGTCTTGTAAGCCCTTTAGCCGCCGATATTCTACAAAATGTGCCGGTTGTGGATACCATTGAAGAGATGGAATCGTACATAAAAACTACGGGGGTTGACCCTGAAGGGAATGAGGTATGATAGATCACTCAAGTGTTGTTAAAAACTACTATTTATTAGGAATCGCCTTCAAAAGTCGTACGTTATGTCGATGGTACCCCATTTAGACTACCAATAAGCAGTTTTTCCGATCAATGTACGGGTATGACAGAGATAGGTAAACTGGGCGTAGAGTTGCAGCCGTGAATATTAATTGTTTAGAAATCCCCTACTCCTCAAAGATCAATTGTCTCTGGCCCTCGCCTGAGTTGAACCAGAGCTTGTGCGAATCCGGATCTCTTTTCAATGCGAAACATTATTTCGGGATGGCATTGAGTGATGGCAGCAGCAAGGTAACAGATTTCTATAGAAAGCAAGTCTTTTTAGGATAACACGACCATTGAATGGAGTACGACTCAGCAGCTTCTCACTCCCTCTTGGGATCCAGACGAGAAGACGTGTGATAATGTACTTCAAGAGGTGATTGAGAATGTTGAATTGCGACGATTTGCAGGTGGTACTGCAACTAGATGTCGACTCAAATCGTCAAATTACAAACGCTGAAGTTCCGAAAGTTTCCTATCGTCGGTTGGTTGCGGAAGACCTCGGAGTTCATCAGCTGCAATTCACCGTGATTTTTCGACAAAGTGCTGGGGCTCGGGGATGGCACGACGAATATTCGACGGGAGACCCGCTTTTGGTGAAAACTCAGAACGGTATGGGGCTTTGATGAAGAACTTTTCAACCCCTTTAGGCAATATCCCTTGGAAACTGGCGACCATTCCGGAATGCGCTTCAGCAAGTGAAAAGTTTGTAACATTTGGAAAGACCATGAGAGCGACCTGTTCGGTTAGGTGAGAACCGTAATCTTATCGATTTACGTGGAAATAGGGCCCCCCTGTGCTGAGGCATTCGACATAGCGGAAGAGTTAGTGGGTTCCTTTGCCCAGCAATTGCTCCCATCGCCAGGAGCTGTCGACGGGATTCCCGTGTTGAGAAGGAATCAGCTGGACGCTGAAAGGGTCAGTTGTGGAGTGCACGATACTAACAATGCCTAACAGATGACCAGCAGCACTCGTTGTACACTTCCGACAATCATCAGTCTTGATATTGCATTCGCAAAAAGTCGGCACCACTGAGGATTTCTCGATAAGGGTGGGGAGACCTATAAAACTTTAAATTTACTTACTAGCCCATCCGCGAGCCAACTGAAAAAGGCCCCATAAATTTCTGACAATCCAGATTATTGGCGCCTATCTTTCGACCCGAAACCAGGAGGTCGACCTTGAGGCCGATCGTCAAGCTTATTTCACCCGTCAGATCGCCTTCAAAGATGTGACGAAAGGTGGGCACTACACAAAAAAACGCAAAACACGTTTTCGAGTGTTCATTTGATTTCTTTCAGCGGTCTCCTACAAATTTGCTGCAATCCCCCACATCGACCTTCGACTTCCCTCCGATTTCTTCTATCCCATTATGCCCAACCCTGCTTCTTCCGTTTCAATGCCGATGCTATATTTATCGCTCATTTTGATCGTGGCCAGAGCCTGCTTTTATTGAACTGGCATAATTTAATGATTGCTTCTGACGGGCCTATAAATAAATCACTTATCATTAAACTAAAAAACGAGCCAAAGAATGCTGACAACGATTGCGGTTAGCAGAAAAAATAACGTTCATGATGAGACAACAATCGCGAAAATTAACGAAACGTTAAAAACAGCTAAGTGAACCTAACAAATTTGTTGTTCGGCCCAGGCGCCGGATATGCGAATAATTTGAATAGCTTTTCCCCTGTATAAAACCCTACGGATCACAGCGCTGCATAACTTTTCGTATCCGCTTCCCAACCCGGTCGCCTCGACTTGATTTACTACTCGACTCAACTAGCAGCCAACTAAAGGTATGAATTAAATGCTGTCACAAAATTGTGCTATTTCGCTGCAGAATGTGCACGGGCAAGTGCAAAAAGAAGAAGGGCCAGACGGGCACAGCTGCGGTCGCCAAGAATGCGAAGGCGAACCCGAAGGCCCCTGCTGCTACTTCGCTTCAAAAGGTGCTTTTTCCTGTTCGATTTTCGGTTTTTTTTTCCCCGAATTTTTTTAATTATTTTTTCCCCCCCCCGGGGTTGTTTTTTTTTTTTTTTTTTTTTTTTTATTTTTTGGTTTAAAATTAAAATATCATTATTTTTTTTTTTCTTCCCATTTTTTTTTTGTGCAAAAATCCTGATCAAAATAAACGAAAAAACTTTGACAACTTTTCGAGAACCTTGGGCTGGGGGGGGTAAAGTAAACTCTTACCGATTTTTCTTAATATCCCCTGATTTCAGAAGGGCGGACTACCAGGCAAAGTCCCGAGCGGTACTCGCGTTGTTGAGCAGAAGAAGCTCGTCAGCCAGAACAAGCCCGCCCCCGCCCCGAAGACGGCGCCCCGCAAACGAACCTCCGGCTCGTCGACGTCGAAAACCAAGAAGACGAAGACGCTGGTACGGAAGCAGCTTTCAATTAACAGAATATTACAGTCGCCATCTCCGGCTGGTCAACGTGCCTTGCCAAAGAACAAAGACGTCACCCACAGCAATTCGGCCGGGCTGTTGGCCGCAGAAAAGTCGAAGCGAAAGGAAGGAAAGAAAAAGGATGCTGGCCCGGAAGACAAGCAGAAGAAGGGACCAGTGATGAAGGTATCGAATTGAGAGAACGAACTCATTGATCGTTTTTAGAAAGGCTCCGAGCGAGACAAAAAGCCAAAGACGTCGACAAGCAGTTCGAAGGGCAAAAAGAAGAAGACACTGGAGGAGGGCGGTCAGAAGAAGGCAAAGGGCGTCGAGCTCGTCAAGGAAAAGGTAGAGGCTTTAATCGGCATGCAGCAATTGCAATATTTGCTTTAGGAGCCGGCGATGGATCCGACGCAAGAAGATCACACACGAGTCGACCCTGATCTCATCACCGCCGTCGACTTTGAATTCGAGGTTGAGAAGAAGTTCACAAATACATGGGTTATATCTTTCAGCAATCGTACAAGAAAATGCAAGAGTCATTCCCGGAAGATTCGCGTCGGCTTCGCGACCGGAAGAAGCGCCTCCGCCCCCAGAATACCCAGACGAATTCGGTGACGCTGGAGGATTTGCTGGGAGAGAAGCAGAAGAAGAAGAAGAGAGAGCAGGATGGCGAGAACAAGAAGCCGAAGGTCGGGCCAAAGGGAAGCACCCCGAACACCTCGTCAAATACCACGCCTTCGGCATCCAGGAAAGCAAAGGTACGGCTCTCCAGCGCGAGGTGGATGAAGCCGCTTTTTTCAGTCGAAAGAAGACTTGGCGATCCCCACCGAGCACCGCATCCTCACCAGCTCGCCGCCGCTGCCGAAGGGAGCCGTCGAGCAGCCGGATCCTCGTCAATCGCAGCAGCAGCTGGTAAACTGATCCCCCTTTCAGTCTTTCTCTTCGAAAGACAACTTCGCGGAATCAACATAAAATAGTTCGCTTCAGATGTACGCCTCGTACGTTGGAGCTTCTGGTGCTCAGATCAGGACTTGGTCCTTCACGGACAGTCGCCCGATCATTGGGACTGCCCTCCCCGAATATGGCGATCCGTTCCAGCAGCTAATCATTGGATGGTAAGCGGCTACTCTGAGCCCTTGAAACATTCCGATGTATTTTTCCAGCTTCCGTGACGAGTGTCCGATGCGTGCCGGCGTCGCTCCGCCCTGTCCCACCACGGCAACGTCGATGAGCAGCTCCGGCCAGTCGATCACCATCCAGCCCTCATGGTAGAGTGCGGGCAGCTATTAATGAAGGACATTTCTCGCTACAGCCAGACCCCTTCGTCGGCACGTTCGCACGGCCACACGCAACGGATCCACGGACACAGCGAGTAAGGCTTTGCTTGGTTATCTTCAATCAGATTGCGGTTCGTATTCGTGCCTCTTTCAGTCGTGGCCCCTACAAGCAGATCGGTTCGTGAGCTCGATGTCATCGATACGGAATACGCGGGCGAGGACGCCGCTAAGAAAGTGGTACGCTGCTAATGTCATATTTCGAAATCCTCATCATGACAAAATTCCCCCAAAAATTTTAGCCGATTGTCGAGAAGCCGCTGGGGTTCGAGGCGATCAGCCGGCAGATGCGGGACCTCACTCTGCAGGTAATTAGCGAATTCAGGCAGAATTTCACAAAAGGATAGAGAGACACATGGTGCATTTAGATTGACTCGGTGGCCGCTGAAGTGACCAGCCTGACCAAGGTGTTTAATGGAAAGCCGATGACGACGACGGCCGTCAAGTGAAGCCCCGCCCCCAGAGATTTACAATGACATGTGCGCCCGTCAAGCTGACAGCCCCTCGCCCTTTAATGTCTTAATGTACTGTGCCCGAATAAATCATTCACTTATTATCTGCTATATGGAATAGAAGGCATTTTATTTGTCGTGGACTTGGGATATGACGGCGACAAGGAATGAGTTGAATTCGAGGCGCAGCGTGTCTCCATCTTTTGGCAGCGAGGCAGCAACGCAATGGACCCCGTTGAGCGAGGATGGGACGCGAAATTCTGCAAATATTTCTTTGTAAACTTTCCTACAGATTCTACGATAGCAGAAATAAGACATGCCCTGGTCCTCTGAATACTCACCGGAAATGGCCGAGTGGTTGGTCGCGGTCTGATCAGTATCCAGTAACACCAACAGCACGCGGTTCATCGGAATATCACCGCGCTCGATAAATTCCCCGTTCCTAGAGGTAGGTGATGCATATCGGATACGTTTTTCGATTTCTACGGGCTCACTAACCACGGAATAAGATCATCGCCAGTGTGCCGTTCCGGACTCGCCACCAGAATCACGCCATGTGTCCCATCTCCAAGCGCCGGCCAGCATTTGTTATATTTCTCATCGCCTGAGCAATCCCAGAGCTCGACATCGGCGTCTAAGGGCTTTAGCATGAACCAACCTAAGCCACCTACCGATCTTCTGCCCCTTCAGTTCAAGATCATTGCTCTCGAACTCGACGATGCGCACACCTAAAAAAATGGGTTCTTTGACATGTGCACACCTAAAAGAAGAGTTTTTCAGGCTCGGCGCCTACCTTTCGTTGGCCGGTAACCATATTGACTCTCCAACGAGTCGGCCAGGTAATTAGAGATGGTCGTTTTTCCGGCCTAAATGGGCTAGTCACACTTTGTCCAAGCCTACCTTTTGCGGGCCAAGGACGAGAATTTTTGACTTGCTGACCTTCATTGCAAGGATTACCGTGACTGGGCCAAACCCTTGCCGTTTGCTTGTCTAGGTTACCATGGCGACCAGATGGGCCCTGCTTCCCGGATTTTCAAATTTCTCAATTTTTCACGACTATTACTCTGGCTATGTGACAATGGCGTTTTTTCACATTTTGGACAAAGAATCCACATTCTTCGTAGAACTGTCGATGCTAGCTCGCTTCTTTCAGCTGGGCTGCTCTGCGTCTCTGCCCCGCGCACATAAAGATAAGCCAAGCTTGCTAGTCTACCCTTATTGCAACGCTTGGAGCGCGCTTGTCCCAAGTTCAGCTTTTCGACGGTCATTTCAGCAAGCATCATGGAGTCTCTCTCTTGTTTGCTTCAAAGAAACGCAGTCTTATAGCCTTGGGCGATCGGTCTGTTAGTCTACGTCAGCGTAACGCAAATACTCCTCTCTACCTATGGACCGCCCTGACCATCTCCTTTATCGATTTTCAATGCTCGCCCTCAGAAAACTGCTTTACCCGTATAAAACGCTAGAAGCGATGATCTTTTCATTAGCACATTCCAACCTTCTTGTTTTCAAATCGACCTTGCTTTGTTTTCTTGCGCCATCGTTAATCATGGTAATTTTAGGCATGCGGTGATGTTACCCAGGCGAGGCTGGCTGATCCTCGCACTACTCAGCTCCTTTCAGCTGTCCCATCGAGTCCACAATGTTTAACATGCGACTTTTAACGGAAACGGTCGTGAAGGCTGGCCCAGTTGATTGTCTCGGCCTATCATTCCTTCAGGGACTCAAAATCACCGAGCGAAACCATTTCGCTGGCGGAGACACAGCTTGGGAGGAGAAGAATCTCGGCAAATATGCAACGAGGTGCGTCTTTCGATGCTAAAGGAAATTTTTCAATTCTAGTGAGACGCGTTTGATCGAAGCTTTGGAAGGAGTTTGTAAAAAGTCCACCCTTGCTTCTACCGACAGCTATATCAGGTGAAAGACCTCGAATTCAAGGTACTGCATTTTTATCTTCGCTATTCAATTTCAGTGCGCTCATTTGATGGAGGAGAGCGAAGAGCTCGTGGAGAAGTGGTACTATAAGAATCAGGTAAGTGTATGTGGCTAGCTAAAAATATTTGTTTAGGAAACCCCGATTCGTGACTGGTTGTGTAAACGAGCTGAAAGTTTGCCGCCCTAAAGGGTGAGAGTTTGAAAGTCCTCTGAATTTGATTCTTATAGGAAATACGGCAAGAATTGTGAATCCTGTCCTGGCATTTCTGAGGGAGCCGCTGCCTGTTTCGGTCATGGAAAATGCGATGTGGGTTTGCTATTGGCCTTCTATGTCAAATTTTAGGGAGATGGAACACGCGCAGGACTGGCAAGTGCGCCTGTGACAATGGCTATGCAGGGTTACTCTGTCGACAATGCGAGAATAATTATTACTTCAAGGAGAAGGAAGAGAATCGAGTGGATTGCGCTGGTAGGAAGCGGTCGACTACTCAAAAAGCGTTATCCAATTTCAGAATGCTACGGTGGTTGTAACGGATGCACCGGACCGTTAGCGACAGAGTGCACCGAGTGCCGGGTCGGTTTTGAGCGTGATTCGAAGAACGCTTGTGTTGGTAAGGTCCATTCTGCGCTTCTTGACATTTTACAGATGTGGACGAATGTGCTAAACCCGAACTCCATGCTTGCACCAAGGCTAATGAAGTGTAAGTCGAGGTTTATTCTGCCTCTGAACGATGTATTTAGTTGCATCAACGACATCGGCAGCTACAAGTGCGATTGTGCGGACGGGTACAAGAAAAACGATGTCACCAAGGAGTGCGAGCTGAATATCCTAGGTATAAACATATCTAAGCCTCAAAAATATGCTTATAAAACCCTGCACCCTTACCCCACTACTGTCCCCTTTGTTCCTGACACCAGACGCTCCCAAATTCAGCGCCACCCCAACAACCGCTGATCCGCCCTAACCTGCTACTGCGGCTGGTGAGCCTCGGTGGTCTCTTCCTGGCCACAATGCTCATCATTAGCCGCCCATCTCCTCTACTTCTTCTCCTCTCGGCGCAACGATTGTTATCTACGTCCTCATCGAGCTTTATATCAACCCCGACGCGGTCCCAGAACAACTCAAAGACCATTTTGAGCTGTAATAGTGGGCTTTTCGTTTGGTAATTTTTTATTTCCTGGACACCTTCCCTGGGTCTGGTGGTGATTGAAAATTTCTAACGATAATCCCTGAAACTTTGACTGTTGGTGAAGGGAACGATCCTGGAAATAATGTTTATTTCTAGCAGCTTCGAGTACATTTCTATTTTTTCAGTTGCAACAGAACCTCCCCCAGAGCCCGTAGAAGACGGCAACGATGAGCTTTAGGAATAACCAAATTTTTCCAACCTACTTTTCTCACTGGTAATTGTGAAGTTTCTGATCTTCTTGGCCTTCACTTTTCTGCCTTAGCATTATTTATTTATCCAATTGTTTGTTCAATGGGTGTAAGGGTCCTCATGTGCATTATGCATAAATTTTTTGGAACACGACACAAAAGAGCGTCTTGGTGCGAGACAGCCATAACTACTAGACACCATGGATTACAGTCAATATGGGTGTAGAAATGAGCGAAAGCGAACCTTTGGCCAAGGAAATCAAAACAGGACAGCCTTCAACGTCGGAGGAGCCCGCAAATGCAGAGAACAGGTACGATTCGAACGCCATTTTCTAAGCTTTGATCGAGACAGTTGTGCGGGGCCTTTAGGATTATACTCACGATCCACTGCTTATGATGCTAGCGGATAATTATTTTTAGCGCCACAGCTCTGCCGGACGAAGACCCGCTCCTCATCGACCCGTACGTGCCCTTCGAATGTTCGATTTGTCATCACGCGGAGAAATGTCTATTTTCGGAGTTAAAAACAATTGATGGCTAGTACGTGTTAAAATTTTTTCCAAAAGTATTTAGTTATCCTGCACCCGTCTATTTCATGCGCGATCCGTTCACTCCGCGCCCAAAAGTCAAAGGCACCTTACCATTTTCTTGAAACATTTCAACCTCTCGCATTTAGGTCGCAAACCTCTGCTGTCCGATTTTTTGGTTCTGGGGTCCCCCTGTCATCTCTGCTCACAGCCCGTCTGCTTTGACAAGGTGTGTCCCTCGTTGATTATGCTATCAAATTCCTCGTCCACAGGGGTGCTCCGTTCATTTTGGGCATTTATTTTGCGGCTTGTGCATCGCTCGCGAAAAACGACGTTTTCCGGAGCAAGTGATTCAGGTAGATCTTTGCAATATTTCAAAACAAATTTTAGGTGTTATTGAAAGCACAGATGGCCAGGGTGAAAGAAGAACCGAAGGCAACAGAATGACTGAATAAAACTTCGAAATATATTTTGTTTTGTGAAAATGAGTTGCATTCTTGAACATATCGCAGAAATTTCGCTACACGCTCTGCTGTCATATGTCCATGCTAACCGAATTTTAGGCATACGATGGACGAATCTGACAATGCCGAAACCAGCAATCTAACTCTGGACAATGAGCTCAGTGACGACGACGTTTTAATGGCCGATGTTATCGAGGCTGCCATTGAGGAACGATTCGTATCGAATTTGTTTCGTTCGCAGGTTTCCTTTCTTAGGCAGCTGCTAACCGCGACGATTCGAATGATGGCGCAAGTAGCGAAAGTGTTGGGAAGCACATGGTAAATGTATGAAACTCTATCAATAGTCTTTTTAGTTCACGGGAAGCACTCCAGCTCTCAGTCCATCAGATAGCAGCCCGAAGCCAGTTGGTAATCGCGAATCAATTCGCACATCGGCAAAATTTAGGGTCCAAGCACAATTTCGACCTTTTCGGCTCGGCTCGATCCAGGGATTCCACGAACGACGAGGTTTTAAATTAATTTCGCCCAAATAATCTGTTCAGAATTCGCCACTTGTCAGCCTCCCGGCTCCGGTGGAACTTCCAACTTCTACGCGGCTTGGAATCACAGTGAAGGCCTTGCATGTGGGCTTTGAGCAATATTCCGGATCTTACTTGGTTCAGGTGGCGGCTGAATGGAAATGGCGTCAGGGTGGGGACGATACTTGCGGCATCTGCCAAATGGCATTCGAAGCATGCTGTGTCAATTGCAAGATGCCAGGCGATGACTGCCCATTGGTAAGTGGTTCGAGTCGCAACTTGTAAAGATTTCGGGCCAACGGTTGTTGATCTTTTCCGGGTTGCGATGTTGCTCCTCTCATACGTCTCCTTTAGGTAGTCGGGATGTGTCGGCATCCTTTCCACTCCCACTGCATCACCAAGTGGACAATCTCGCAAACGACTGCGCGCCCACTCTGCCCAATGTGTCGCCAAGAATGGCGGTAATCATTCAATTTTTTTTTATTGAAATGAACCTTCTAGGGTTTCCCCAGCCAAGACAGTGTCATAGATGTCTTCGACCGGTTATGTGATTTTTGTTGTGGCTCAGCGAATACGGATACCTTTCACGTGGCAAAAATTGTGCTTTCTCGATCTCATCAGTGATAAAAATTAATTATGAAGTTTACGCATTATGAACTGTGTCTTTGTGCACATTTACCTTGATTTCGATTAGTATGCTCGTTTTCACCTGCATCTTTTTTGCTTCATTCGCGTCAACAAAACGCTCTTTAGGATTGTCGTATGCTATCCAGGAGAGTCATCCTGCCGGTCTCGGTGTCACGCTGCTGGGTAAATCTTTATTCTGGACGATAAGCTTGCATTAGGCGTCTTCGCGTCAAAAACAGTCCGCCAAAAGAAACAACAACTTCAACCCGGCACATCCTATCAACACAGCTTTCAAGTACAACATTATTTAGCTACAAACCTGTTTTTAGGATGACTCCAACAACATCGGGCCTTCAGCCATTCCCTGTTCAAGAATTTGACAACTTTCTTGTCCTTGATTTCGAAGCAACCTGTGACGAAAATGGACCTTTGGAGCCATGTCAGGAAATCATTGAATTCCCGGTGATCCAATTAGACGGAAAAACATTCGATGAGGTGCGTTTTTCGTTATTATTGCAATTTATTTTAGGTATCTCGATTTCACATGTATGTCTCACCAACCATTCATCCACGATTGTCAACGTTTTGCACGCGCTTGACCGGGATTATTCAGGTTGCGGCACTTTCAGCAATCAACAATTCCTTCAGGAGATGGTCGATGGCCAGCCAACACTTCCCGCAGTTCTTTCTAAGTTTGATGAATGGATGCAAAATCAAAGGATTATTGATTCCAGGTTAGAAATCTTACATTTGACGGACCTGCGGGATTGCTCTAAAGAAACAGAGCCTGAAGCTATCCCATCGAAAAGTGTTCTTTTCAGATTTATCTTCGTCACTTGTGGTGATTGGGATCTTCAATTGCAGCTACCACGAGAAGCTGCTCATAAAAACATCACCACTCCAAGGTTGATTCTATCTTTTTTAATGTCTTTTGGTGTGTTCCGTTCTTTTTGCAACGATCTTTTCAGCTACTTCGCTGAGTGGATAAACGTGAAAAAGTCATTTTGCGACCACCGAGGTCATTTCGCACAGGGAATGAAGCATTTGCTGAAAGAACTTAACCTTACGCACACGGTCCGTTTTGGGTTCGATTTCGATAGTTGTGTTTAGGGCAGACAGCACAGTGGCATTGATGATGTGACGAATATTGCGGCTATTACTCGCGCCCTGGCTGCTGAGGGTCACGTCTTCACAGCCAACGGAGGCGCCAGGCGGAACCGCGTCTTCGGTTATTGGAGCAAGAAGCACGACGCGAAGCCGAAGGAACCAATAAATTGTTAAATTGTAAACCTTTTTTGCTAAATAGGTTTCCTTCTTCGTTACTTGGTTTTTCAACTTTTTTTGATGGTGCTAGTTTTTAGGTACCTATGTCCATCCGCAGCAATGCTTATACGAAATACTCTCCGCGCTTGCCAACGCTTTTCGTGTGCTGATACGAGGGTGAGTTTGGGCTAGGTCTTATAGTATAACTTTCAGGTTCGTTTTGCCCCATCGCCGACCGGTCAGCTACATATTGGTGGATTGCGGACAGCGCTTTTCAATTACCTCTTCGCCAAGTCGCATAATGGTTCGAGCGGTTTTGAAAAGAAACCCATTGTTTAGGCTCCTTTATCCTTCGAATCGAGGACACTGATCAAACCCGGCTGGTCCCCGGCAGTACGGACTCGGTTTGGATTGTATCTTGGCGGTCGATCCTGTTTAGATCAACCGTATATTGACACACTACGGACTAATGCCAGACGAGGGTTCTGAGCAAGGCGGCGCTTACGGACCCTATCTCCAATCCCAACGACTTGGCATATATGAGGAATACTCGCACCGATTGATAGAAAGCGGTCATGGTTACCGATGTTTCTGCAGTTCGGAGGTTGGAATCCTTTGTCGCGGACGATAATGGCTTCAGAGGCTTGAATTGCTTCGGAAAGAGGCTGCTCGCACGAATCAAGTGCCGAAGTATGACAAGCGGTGCAGGTTGCTCAGCCAAGAAGAGGTTAGCAGCCAAATCTTCTTCTTTATTATTTGTTAGTCAATGCAACGAAGTCGTACGGGCGAGAAATTCGTAGTTCGGTTCAAGTTGGATCTGCAGGATGTCGCGTTCAAGGTTGTCCCTTATATTTGTTGCTCTATTTTGGCTTTAGGATCGTGTTTTTGGCGACATTTCGCAGACGCTTGATGAATCTGACCCGATCCTGGTGAAAGCGGACGGGTACCCGACCTATCACTTTGCGAATATCATTGATGATCGGTGAGAAGATTGCTTGACCCTGTGATTCTTCCATTTTAGGTTGATGAAAATCTCGCACGTGATTCGCGGCATGGAATGGTTATCGAGTACTGGCAAACACGTGCTTTTGTACAAGTGGGTTTGGTTGAAATTGGATTTTAAGAACGCTGTTGTTTCTAGAACATTCGGATGGGTGCCACCCGCCTTTGTGCATTTGCCTCTGTTGACAAGAGATGGAAAACAAAAGCTTTCGAAGAGACATGCCGACGCCTTCGTCGATTACTATCATAAAGAGAAGGGCTTTCTGCCCGTGGCTGTGCTGAATCTACTGGTAAGCCGGAAACAGGCATGTTAACTCGGCCATCCTAGATTCGCAATGGCAGCGGAATCAAAAATTTCGACTCCAACCATCTATATACCTTGGAAGAAATGGTGACATCATTTGATGCTTCGCTGATTGGGAAACGTAATTTACAGGTTGCTTAGTTTTCCATCTGTTTTGAAGTAATTTTCTATAGGTAGATCCCAGCAGCCTTGAGCACTACGGCCGTCTCGCGTTCCAGAATTCTCCAATTAATCAGGTAGATGGGCTCTCGCTTAGTTTTAACTTTTTTATTTTTAGTTGATCCCATTGATCCGTGATCGCGTCGCAAATGACTTGCCTGGCTGTGAGAGCGTTTGCGACGACCCGGTCTACATGGAGAAGGTTATCCGATTTCTGCGAGAGCGGGAGGAGCGCTTCCATTCTCTGGCCGAGCTCACCACTCCGCAGTACGCCTTCTTCTTTACGCGCCCAGTTGATGCCAGCGCGGTAAGAGATTCTCACCGGAAAAATAGCCCCTTAGATAACCTGTAAGTATCCCGCCTATGAGGCCAAGGAAATCTTGGAAGCGGTGCTTCTACTTGCCGAGCCAGAAAACCTCAAGACGTTGCGCGACCTGGCAGACCGCTTTGGGAGCAACCACAGGAAAATATACGGGATTTTGAGGTATATGTTGTCCTCGACGAAAAAGAACTGTACCTAGAATTTCCATCACCGGCCATGCCACGGGTCCGCCGATCGCTGAGCTTTACGAATTCTTTGGGCGAGAGGAATGCACGAGCCGAATTCGACAAATGATCTCCTTCCTTTCATGATTCTGTTATCCAATTGTTATTTTTATCTGGTTTTGAATAAATGTTTTGTAGTCTATTGCCTGCCTTCTTTCTGCCGTCATATCAGGCACAGTTTATCTTCAACCATGACTTTTCCAAACCACGATTTCCCTGCTCACTTGCCCCACTCGCGATGAACTTTATTTTAGAAAATGGGTAAAAAGGTGAAAATCGGAAAGCAGCGCCGTGATAAGTTCTACCATCTTGCTAAAGAGGCCGGATACCGCTCGCGTGCCGCCTTCAAGTTGATCCAGCTGAACAAGCGCTTCGAGTTTCTTCAATCTGCCAAAGCAGTCGTCGATCTATGTGCTGCACCGGGAGGATGGATGCAGGTGGCGAAACAGAGCATGCCTGTCTCCAGCATTTGCATCGGTTAGTTGCGTTAGGCGGTATACTGACGTCAAAAACTTTAGGCGTGGATCTTGTGCCGATTAAACCAATCCACGGTTGCATCGCTTTGCAAGGAGACATCACCGAGGAATCGACTAGACAGGCCATCCGCAAAGAGCTGAAGGGTTTTCAGGTTGGAGTTTTCCTTTTTTGGATAAAAATTTTAGTGTGACACCGTGTTGCACGATGGTGCGCCGAACGTCGGTATGAACTGGACGCACGACGCCTTCCAACAAAATTGTCTGACGCTGATGGCCTTGAAGATGGCAACACAGATTCTGCGGCGAAACGGGACCTTTGTCACAAAGGTTTTCCGCAGCAACGACTACCATCATTTGATTACGACCTTCGAGAAATTGTTCAAGAAGGTATGGCTTTATGGGTCAATGTAGTTTTTCGTTTCAGGTGCATGTTTGGAAACCGGCTGCTTCGCGTTTGGAATCTGCCGAAATCTTTGTTGTCTGCGAGAAGTACTCGAAGCCTGACAAGGTAGATCCCGATTTGCTGAATGTGAAGAAGGTGTTCCTCGAACCGAACTTGGACCCCGCCAAGCCCAACAGGTGATAAATCCAGGACTTTTCTGTAAAAATGATCATTTCAGCCAAGCTCTCCTTTTGAACAAGAAGACGAAAAAGGCGCGTGCCGAGGGCTATGCTGAAAGCGATGGACTGACCCTGCATAAGACTATTGATGCCACTACGGTAGATTGCATCTTTTTATCTTATAAGAGTTTTGCAGTTCGTTCACTCCTCTTCCGCCCTGGATCTGCTTGCTCAAACGAGCAGCATAAAGCTCGACCAACCGAAGTGGAGCGAAGCACCGGAAACGACGGACGAGGTGTGGTCCGTCTTCCTTCCAGCATCCCATTTTAGGTCAAAGAATGCCTCAAGGACATTAAACTCTGCGGTCCACGCGAACTGCGCATCCTGCTCAAGTGGCGAAAGAAGATGTTGGACATGGTGCATGCCGCTGAAGATGCGGATGTGGACATGGAAGCTACTGAACCACAACCGTTATCTGCCGAAGACCTAGAAGATCAGGAATTGGCCAACATCGAAGCTGAGATCGCGCGCGCCAGTGCCGAGGAGAAATCCGAATTGAAGAAGTAAGTGATCGTGCTAAGGAGTCAGACTCTATAAAAATAAAGTTTACCTAATTTCTGTTGATACCACACTAATTTTTTTTCTTGCAGGAAAAAGAAGAAAATGCTTCGCGAAAAGGCTAAGGTGCTGAAGCGCAAGCAGCTGAAGATGATCCACGGAGACGATCCAGGAATTTTTGCGGAGATGCCAGATTTATTCGCCCTAAAGAATATCAAGAAGGTACGCTTTGCTTTTATAACCTATCGCGTCGTCCAGGGAAGCCTGGCAACATTAACGGATGAGGCTGTGCCGGATATCTCAAACATCGAAGACGATGAGTATGGACTTGGCGAGGGCGAATGGGAAGAACACGGAGACGAAGCTGAGGACAATGAAGCGGCAGCGTAAGACTTTGTATTATAAAAAAACGGGCGTGTTGTTAGGGATGCTGATGACGAGGATAATGAGCTAATTCACACGGAACAGTCCTTGATGACTCCGGATGAGAGGAAGAAAGCGACAGTTAGGGAATGGAAAAATCAGGTAGATTTTTTCGCTTTTTTGAGGAAAGTTTTTCAGCCACTGATCAAAGAATTGCTGTCATCAGACGACTCCGACGATGAACTTGATGCGGTCGAAAAATATATGAGAAAGAAGGGGACTCTTCAAGAAAATACAGGTAGATTCGTCTTTAGCACGCGAATTTGCGATTTATTTAGTTTCTTTCGAAGCAACAAAACCTAATAAGACTGTGGAGAAGTTTGGAGACGAAGATGACGAGAAGGTTGATGGCACCACATTGTTCGACGCTGAAATGGAAAGCGAAGAAGAATACGAAGATGAGGACAAAAGGGTCGCCAAAAGGAAAAAGGAAGAGAAGAAGAATAAAAAGGAAGCGGGTGAGTATTCATTTCTCGCCTTTGATAGCCCTTTATAGCTGCGAAAAAGAGAAAGCTGACCCCAGAAGAATTAGCACTTGGCGAACAGCTGATATACTCCACGAAGACTCGACGTGATCTCGAAGATTGGGGCTGGCATCGGTGAGTATTAATTTGCGCTTGCGAACGTCTGGTCATTTTAGTTTTTCGAACAATGACGAAAATCTGCCGGATTGGTTCGTGGAGGACGAGCAGAAGCACTACAAAAAGGACCTGCCGGTCACCAAGGAGCAGGTCAAATTCTACAAGGAAAGGATGAAGGAGATCAATGTTCGCCCAATCAAGAAGGTGATTAGCTTTCGTGGCCAGTAACCAGCAAATAGGTGGCCGAAGCCAAAGCCCGAAAGGCTAGACGCGTCACTCGGCGTTTGGAGAAAGCGAAAAAGAAGGCCGAAGCCGTCGTCGAGAATGAGAACCTCGAACACTCGGAGAAGGTTCGCGAGATGAAAAAGTATGTTTTTGAATGTGGTTTTCACAGGGCTTGGTCCTTAGAAACCCGTGCTAACTGCTGATATATTCTAGGATCTACCGCAACGCAAACAAGAAGGAGGATAAGAAGAAGAACGTGGTCGTTGTCACGAAGTCGAATCGCGGTCGCATGTCCCGACCGAATGGGCGCTACAAGACAGTCGATGCCCGAATGAAGACCGAATTGAGAGCCCAGAAGGTTGTTGTTGCTCTTGTTTTCCATTCAACCCTAATTTAGGCCAAAGACAGACGCAGCGGCGTCAAGGGCAAGCGCGGTGGTGGACGCGGGAAGGGGCGTCGTTGAGAAATTACCGAGAATTTTTGTTGTTGTTGTTCATTTTTATTGTTATAGTTGTTCCATTGTTTATGTTTTACTTGTTGAGTTTCCAATAAACTTTCACGGCTTTCATGGCATTTCTCATCCAATAGATCGTTTGGGCGATGTATTATTTTCTTTATTTATTGAGGCCAGTGATATTTGGGAGACCGCATTCCGATATGACAGGTTATTTTGAAGTATTTGGGGGGCACTCGCGTATATACGCATCTCACCGGAGCAATGCGAACACCCCCAGCAGTGCCTTCATTTTTCTTCTCGTCGAAAACGTACTTTTTTAGCTGCTCATTTTCAGATGAATCGCCCTCCAGAAGCTCGATACGGTCTACCACCCGGACCTCCAGAACGAGGGCTGCGCTCTGTTTTCGGTTTGTTTTCGTGGGCTATAATTTTTACTGTTTTTGTTTAGTTGGCAACATCTCGTACGATGTCAATGAGGACCAATTGAAGGCGCTATTTTCTCAGGTACTTGTGCATTGAGGGCAACAAAATCTGGTTTAGGTTGGCCCCGTCATTAATTTTCGTCTCGTGGCAGACCGAGAAACGGGCAAGCCGAAAGGTTACGGGTTCTGCGAGTTTGCCGACCAGAATACAGCCGAGATGGCCATTCGAAATCTCCATGGGTATGCACTAGTTCTATGAAAAGACCATATGCTTTAGATACGACATTGGTGGCCGCAACCTGCGTGTGGATAGCGCTGCGGGGGGTGAAAGGACTTCGGAAGAGGTTGTCTTCTTTTACGGAATTGCAAAATGGTTTTAGTTGCAAATGTTGCAACAGGCTTTCGCTGCCCGACAAGAGGATAGTCCATATGGCCCTGTACCATCGGAAGGAAAGGCTCCAGAGGTGCGAACTCTGTTATATGCCACGGACTATAACCCTGAGACCCGCCCCTGATTCTTCAAATGGTCTTGTTTCAGGCTGTCGCAAGAGCCGTCGCCTCACTGCCTCCAGAGAAGATGTTCGAATTGATGAAGCAGACCAAGGATCTTTGCCGGTAGAGTACATTACTTTCGCGATATAATTTGCTTTAGCACAAATCCACAAGAGGCCCGCCGCATGTTGGTCGACAACCCACAATTGGCGTATGCTTTTCTACAGGTCGGTACATTTGCCGCGCGTTGACCGCTTTTTTAGGCGCAAGTGGTGATGCGCATCGTCGACCCACAAATTGCGATGGCTATGCTGCAGAGGGATCAGTCGACCCCTCAAGTTCCCTTTCACCAAGCGCCTCAAGCCGCCGCACCTAACCCAGTTCATACAAATCAACCGCCGGCCGCTCATCAACGTAGTTTTTTTTTGCTTAGGATTTTAGGTTTGTTGATTTCAGGCGCACCAGCTTTCAACAATCCTCCACCTCCGAGTTTCGGCCGACCCCCACCAAATGTGCCGCCGCCGGCAGCCCCTAAGCCGCCGGATAATGATGGCGCTCAGGCGCAGCTGCTCATGCAGGTAATTTTTTTAAAAGATTTTTTCCTACCTACCCATTTCTAACTTGTAAGCCCTGTCCCTATTCAGGTACTTCAACTGACCCCAGAAGAAATTGCCATGCTACCATCCGGCGACCGAGAGCGTGTTATTGAGCTGCGGAACCAACTCCAGCATATTTAAGCCCCTACTATCTTTCCACTTTGATGATCATCATTGTCCAGAACCTGGACATCCGTTTTACCGGTTCTTATGTTGAATTTTCAATAAATGGCGTTTGCTTTATCTTACAACAGAGTTTTACACGCTTCGCGGATAATACACCACACGGTTTCCATATTTTAATGGCAAAAAATAGTTGCCGGCTACCTAATATCCGGCTCTTTCGGGCCTTCTCATGTATATAAGCCAATTCCCTGCGTCGACCGGGGCTCTGTTATTGAATTCTTTTGATGCTGGGGGTAGCATGAAGCGAGTTGAGGGGGTTGATGGCTCGCCCAGGGGGGCCACCCGAACTGCAAGCCTCGCCGCGTTGCGGTCGCGTTCCCCAGTTTGCCCAAATGGCCGGGCCAGGGGCGTAAGCGGATCTCGTCAATCAACCTCCTCTTTTTACAATCATTTGCTTGTTTTGCTAGTAAACAGCTAGTTTTAGGATGGGTGCTGAAGCCAGACGAGCGGCCACTGCCAAGAAGAAGGTTCGTTAGCCTTCTAAAATTTTCAGGGATTAGAAGCGGGGTTTAGAGACAGAACACAGAACTTCAATACGGATACGAGATATTTATCAGCATCACTAGATACTTTTACTCCATCTTATTTCAGGGCAACCCGCCAATTCTTTCACACGACTTCATCATTCAAAACCATGGGGACATCATGAGCTGCATCCTGATGCTCGTTGTCGTCGGCTTCATGTTCCCGGTGAGATCCCTACATTTTTATTAATATACAGCGTGCTTCAGACTACTGCGCCCCTTTCCTCAATCTTTGTGGTCCCCCAGTACAACGAAACCGTTGCGGTCAACGTACATAATGGTCGGTTTTTCCATGCTTTTTTTGGAATTAGCAGTAGTTGGTCTAACGCTGAACATCACCTCGAAAAGCTGATGCAAAGTAGGCAAAATGATTTCTGCTTTTTCAGTACAATTCGATGTCCAAATTTACAAGAGTGGCGTACGGGATGTGTTCACGGTCCTTTTCTACACGATCGGATGGATCACGATGCATGCCATCATTCAAGAGTACATCATCGATAAACTTCAACGCAAGGTGGGAGTATTTTCGCGAAATGGAGTTTTTTTTTTAGGTCCATTTGTCCAAATCGAAGCTCTACAAGTTTGGCGAGTCTGGCCACCACATCTTCTTTGCCATCTACTCGATCGCGCACGCCGGTTACATCATCCACGAGTTCTTTACGGTAGAGTCTGCTGATCGTGGCCAGCTATCGTTTTTAGAGCCACAATGACTTCAAGAACCTTTGGGCCGGTTATCCCGAAGATCACGCCAAGATGAACCTGAGCACGAAGCTCTTCTTCATCCTGCAGGTCGCCACCCTGAATTGAATTTTAACTTGTCTTTTTAGCTCTCATATTGGGTGCACCATTTCCCCGAGTTCTACTTTGCCAAGATGAAAAAGGATGAGATGCAACACCGAGCCTTCCTCTCCTTCATCCACATTGGCTTCATCGCCGGCGCCTACATCATGAAGTCGGTATTTTGTGGCTAACTGCGAGTTGCGACCTGGTCGTCCCCCCCAATCTATTCGAAAGGCGACATTGGAGCATCCGTACGTAGCCATCTTCCCGATACCGGAAGGATTTTCATGGCTGTCGCCCTAGTAACCGCCTCAACGGGGCCAAACGTATTATCCGGTAGCTTCCTTCTCCCAGAAGTGTCTTCACTTCGCCCGATTTTTCGTTGGCTATTTCGGGTTCCATCGCCTAGAACTTTAGATCACCTAAAAAATTGCACCTTTTTAGCTTCCAGCGCGTGGCTGTCGTCCTCTTGGCCATCCAGTACCTGTCGGACGTTGTGTTCCACATCGCCCGCCTCGCCCACTTCCTTGATAAGCGCAGCGTTGCCAAGTCCGCCTTCAAGGCATGGAACATCACCTTCTTCGTCGCCCGTGCTGCCAGTGCCGCAGTGGCCGGCGCCACTTTCTGGTGAGTCAATTTGTTTTTGTCAATTTTACTTTACTAGGCACGTCTTGTAAGCTTCTCTATTCCTTAACTCATTCCTTTGTAACAAAACTTTTAGGTATGGGCTTCGCCAGAGCGGTGTGCCCAACGTTGACCTTGCCACCGGCAACTTCAACACCTCCTTCATACGGTACGTTTATGCGCTGGTTTTGGATATTTGGCTTTTTAGATTGAACTCGTTGATCGCCGTGCTGGCTCTGCAGCTTTTCATGCTGTACCAATTTGTCGTCTTCCACTTTGGCCGTCTCCGTGATGCGCGCAACAGGAAGAAGGGCGGAGAGCAGAAGAAGCAGGCGCCGGTCAAGCGAAGTGACAAGCGCACTGATAGCGTGAGTTTTATTTAACGGTCTGTTTCGATTTGACTTGGAACTTCCCTAATTTTTGATTCGATACTGAGCTCAGAAATACCTTGTTTTTCAGGAATCTTCGGCCCAAGAAAGCGCCGCTGTCACCCCAGAACAGAAGAGCCCCGGCAAGCGCAAGCAGAAGGCCCAGTAGACCAAATATCACCTTATCCCCCCAGTACCCTGTAAGCGTTTCCTGTCCTATGGCATTTGTGAACAACAGTTTGGGTTGTGATTCGGAGTCGTATTTCAAATCTTCATTTATCCATTTCAACGTGATTTCTGCTCGACGTGTCTATGCGTCGGTTTTTCTGTAAATTATAGACCCTAACTTATGGCGGAGATCGGGGCAAGCAATAGCGGTATTATTGGAAAGGGACGGCCGGCCAACGGTCCGGCCCACCATTCCCACGACAGCCACCGCTGATTCAAAGCTAGGCTCTCGGTTTTTATCGGCTTTTTGGCATTCCCACGGCGCTCCTACCCTATCGTGTTTACCCTGTTATGTTTGGCGTTTTTCGGCTTGTGAATTGTATTAATAAAGTTTTCGGTGGATCCTTGAAACACTGGACGAAGATTTGACACTGCAGACGAACATTGGTTTTTGAATTAGCCTATTGGACGGCTCCGCCCCGTTCCCGCGGACAGTCCAATTGACCGCGTAACTCTTTCCTTCGTCCGAAAAAGTCTGAGGAAGAAGCTTGGCAACCAAAATATTTAGCAAAATCTGTTGACTAAATAAAATAGCATCTGTCGAATAGTCCACTATGCGCTGCTTTTTTTTGTCTCCACAAGATTGCTCTCCTTTTCTCACCTCACCAACTTTAGATGACCGAGATCATAGATGAGGGTCCGACAGCTACGTCTTCTTTCCTATTTTCTGAGCTGATCGCAATGACACTAGTGGACAAATCGAATGGACAGTCGGTTCCGTGCACTTTTCAGGAACCTCCATTTAGGGCCAGTCAACAACGGCTGAATCTCCGGATTGGCGAGCGACGCCTAGCCAACATCGATAATGTATGGAATCAAGGGTTTCAAATGAAAGATTGTTTAGGAAGTACGCATCGAAATCTACCGCCCTGACGACTATCGTTTCCTGTTTGCTGACGGCATCACGAGGAATACATTCACCCAGCTGCGCGAGCGGTGCAATATTTCCACAGATTTTGACAATTTCGCCAGGAAGTACGTTGTTTTTTGATAAACTATCGAGGACAGAACATGAGCCTCGTACATACCAGTTTTAGCATTGTTGAGCTGATCAAAGACCGAGAGACCGCTACGCCGCCGCTTCAAATTAACTGTGTACTCGACGCGGCCACGGATTCTTGCAGGTTAGATATTAACGCTAGATTTAGGAAAAACTACTGATCCTTGAAATTCCTGTCTCTTTAAGTCTCGAGCTAGTGAGCAAGCTAACGCTACAAACCTCCAAAATCTCAATCGGGCTAAAGCGCGTTGTAAGTGAAGAGCTGAACAACCATCTCATCGAGGCGTTGCACAAAATGAAGGTGAGTGGACCTATCAGCTCATTCAATAATATTCCTGATTTTCGGCGGACTACGAGAAGATGCTCAGGAAGTGCCGAGACGAAGAGAAAGAGTCGAGACGACGGTTCGAGAATGAAGTGAGGACAAGTGCGAACAAGGAGGCCTCAGAGTTACGAGTCAAGTGCCAGGTATACATCCAATATTTCTATTTTGATTTTTCTAGGAACTGACTGAGAAGAATCAACAACTGGAGAGCGAGTACAGAGTTTGTTATGGCCCTTTTTTGCTACAACCCGCGCATTATAGCTGGAGCTGGAGGAGAAGGAAGTAGCAAATAATGCGATCGAAGACTTGCGCCAGGATTTGAACGATAGAGATGACCACGTCGTAAGATTCAACTATTTTTTGCAAAAAGATGTTTTTAGGCGCAGCTTGAAGATGAGGCAGCTTTTCTAGTGGATGAGGTGGCGCGCTATGAAAAAGAGGTGTTCCTAATTTTTCCTGCAAATTAGGATCTTATCAGCTAGAAGCATACAAGAAACGGGTCGCCGAGTTGGAGCCGGCATTAGCCAGAGCCGAGGCGGAGCGAGCAGATGCCATAACGCAGACGAGGACCGCCGAGCGCAACCTGCAAAAAGCTAATCAAATCTTGAGAAAGACTGTGGTAATTGAGGGTGGTTTGTGTTCGAAATTTTTTTAGGAAGCAGACTCTCGTTGGGACCCAAACAACGATCGTGTAAGGGTGAAGGAGCTGACGGCGGAAGTAGCCACTAAGGAACAGACAATCAAGGAGCTGCGCGAAAAGGAGGCTGGCATGATCGTTGAGTGAGCGGTCGTTGAAATTGGGAAAAATGGACCCATTTAGACGCGAAAAGCTCGAAGCGGAACTGAAAGCAAGGCAAAAGGAGCTGGAAGATTTCCAGGCCAAGCAGCATTACTCGAAACAGAGTGAGCCATTTTTTTGGATGATGAACGGCTTATTATTTCATTTTAGTGATGGATAAATTCCAAGCGAACCGTCTCGCTCACCCATCGCCATTTGGGAATCCGGCCATCGGCGCGAGCCCAGTATCCTTCCGACCAGCTATGGTAAGTATATTGTTGCATTTTTGGGCAACACATTTAAGGTACCTGCGTTGAGACCACCACCCACCGGCGTCCTGGGCCCATTGCTGTCAACACAAAGAAATGTATGATCTTGGAAGTGATTTGAGGGTTTTTATCTTCAGTTCACTGCCACCCAGTTGGGGACTCCGCTCCGCAATTCCCCTCAGCAACAACTTCTCGCAAAATACACAGAACCTGCTCCAAAAGAAAAGTAGGTACTTACTAGTTTCATTCTATTATTCTGCTCAGTTTACCTTCGATACCCGTCAACTTCAACCGAGAATCGGCCCCGAAACAATAATAATTTTTCAAAACACATCCTGTACTCCTGCGTTGTTTTTTGGTCCGGGTCAAGCGACGAATTGCCTTTTTCCAGGTATGAACTACTTGTTGCATCTGTTCTTTGTAAATCATCCACGCTGCCTCTATGATGTATGCTTGCCGGGGGTGCTTTGCTTGGGGGTGCAAATAAAATTCGAAGCATTAGATTTTTTATCAATTTACACAATACATCCACCCTTGCCTCGAATTTACTTTTTTTTCACAGAAAACGACGAGAGAAAAACTTTGAGGTCCTGGCGTAACAGAAGGTCGAGACCGCGACCAGCAGCTGCACAAAAGTCAGTAGTGAAGTGCCCAGGAAGAGTCCTGTCTGCCCGCCGAGCTCTAGACACCGCGTTTTCGGGAAATGTTTTCTTACCGGAAATGAAATGCGGGAGTGTGGTCGTATGCTGCTCTTCGTATTCTTCGTACTAAAACTGCCTGTGTTTTCTTTGATGCGTGGAAACCTGGAGCTCATTGAAGGCCGCTTCCAGCCGATAACCATATGCGGAAGCGTCGATGGCGTTGTTTGGGGCTGATGTCCAATCGATTGAAATCTCGCGCCTGGAGCAGGCGGGTAGACACTACAAAAAAATGCCAAATGCAAATGCATTTTAAGCCGCAAACCTTGAATCTCTCGAGTCGCGGCCATTTGATGTCGGAGTAGTTGGCGACAACCGTGGCCACGTCACATACTGGCACATTCCAAAGGTAATCAAGCGTTTCCTGGAGGGGTTTTTGCTTCCCGATACCGCCATCCTTGTCCCATACAGGGACGTAGCGTAATACAGGCCCCGGGGGCCCGGGGCCCCGGCCGGGCCGGGGCTCGAAAATTCCATAAGGGGGGCCATTATGATTATATTTTCTCAAAAGTTTTTTGCCGCCTGCGGCGCTTTTCTCGTTTTTTTTGGGTTTTGTAGGTTGTAACCTTTTTTTCAAAATTTTCGCCTGCGGCGCTGTTTTTTCGGCAATGTTTTGAGTTTTTGAAAAAAATTTGTGAAATTTGGCCCCCGAAATTTTTTTCTGGCTACGCCCCTGGTCCCATACCTTGTAGTAGGGCAGCGCACATCCATATTTTTCGACGAGACTATGCACCCACGTGTACACATAGCATGTGTAAAATCCTGAAAAGTATCCGTTCTACCAGGTGTGATTAGTAACTATTAACCCTGATTCCGTGTAGATGTGGAACAACGTGGGTTATCCGGAAGGCTAATCAACAGCCGAAGCGAAAAGCGGAACTTGTTCCAGCTGTTTAGATTCAGGTAGTACCGCGGGAATGTGGACGTCTCCGGATTCTCGTCCCCGAGGTACATGATCAGATTTGGCTAAAAGCACTTTTTGTGTGAGAAACACTGGAAAATCTGAAACACCTGCCACCCGTCAGCCACTATTGGACTCGGAATATTATTGATGAAGAGTCGCAATTTGGCCAGCTCGTCCGCATCTTTCTGTTCGTACGACTTTAGCTTGAAGCATCTAAAAGGCTCCCGTTTTGGCGAAACTCCGGGAGCTCCACCTCCCTCTGAGCATGACATATGTGGGCTCGAAAATATCGCAACAGTTCACATCTCTCGCGCCCTGGGTACATTGTTTGAAGAACTGAAATGGTGCTTTAGGATTCCGGGGGTGGGCTACCAAATTTTTTGGAGCAGTTCTAAATTTCTACATTGTTTTTACCTATTCCTAAGCTTAAAAACTTTGCCAATTTTTAGGTAAAAAAATCAAATATTTTTCAACTTTTTTGAAAGTTTTTCTACTTTCGATGTAGTTAAAACGTACTAAAAACCAATGTAAAAAGGTGCAATTTGACTGTCGTCCTACCTCTGAACAATTAATCGAGTTTTTCTTAAAGACAAAATCGAATAGTTGCTGTGTGGTGCGGTTTGCCTGCCAGATGTCGAGGTTTAGCTGTAGAGTGCGTCTAAAAACGCGTCTGAATGGGATATTGTAGGTAAATCGAACGTGTAGGAATCGCTGAAATTTTGGACATTGACGTAGTCGAAGCCCGAGCCGGCCAACATGTATTTCATGAGGTCTCGGTAGGCGACCTGCGTATGGCCTCCAATCTCGCGTTTCATATCTGAAGAGATTGGAGAAGAGGCAACAGCAAACCTTCAAAAATATCGTCGTGGTGGAGGGCATCCGGGTTGTTGGGGCAGAATATTAGGTTTGGAAACCGCAATGATTTTACCTGACGTATCCGATCAGCGGTATTGTTCAAAAATTTAACCTGTTTGATGCGCATTCTCGTTTGCGTATCCTTACTGACGTACGCCCCCAAAATGTACTGCGCGTTCCAGATTGCCGCCCCGAAACAGCCCAATAAAACCAGCAGCCAGAAGAGGCGCATCTCGAGGGAGTGGCTCTGAAGGTTGATTTGAATTTTTGTAGTGATGGATTGATCTCGTAAAAAATAGTGAATGCTTCTGAAATTCTAAAAATACTTTTGCTAAAAATCTGTTTTGTTGTTTATCGGTGTATCGATGGACTTTTCTGTCACTGACCATCATCAACTGTGAGAGACCATGCAGTTCCTTTCGCCATAAATACCGACACGAGCATTTCTCGGGAAATACGGTCGGTGGGGTTACTGCTGTTGTCGATTCAGAATTCGTGCGAGCGGACACAGCAATTCTAAAAAAAGAGCCGTCGGACCTATGCGTGGAACAAGGAAAAGCTTCCCCCGCCTCAGCCAACCTCCGCGAGACGTTCGTTGCCGACCTCTGCAGCGTATAGATTGACATCGACCTCGCCGATTCCGCATCGCCGTTCGTCATTTGCAATGGCTCGTACTGCCCTTCCAAACCACCTATCCTATCCGCCCGGTGAAATGTGATACGATAAGCCTCATCCCCTATTCCACACACGTTGTTTACCGACGCTCATAACCCAGGTCCTTTACCAAGTTTCAATGTAATTCAATTTAAAACGAGGAAAGTATGATTCTTTAAGCCGACTTTTTGGTTCTGGGCTGTTAGCGGGGGACCAGTTTTAGTTACGACCTGTTAATAATATATAATTTATTTTTATAGTCCAAATTTGGGGCCAATTGGATGGAAGACGGCGAAATGCCAGATGGTACGTTTTTTTTGGGACACCCTGTATATTTCGTTATATGGTCGTAGGGGAAAAATTTGTCCCCCCCCGCTAACAGTCCAGAACAAAAAAATAGGGTCCGTCTAGTTTTTAGGGGGCTCAGATTTAAATCCGAGATTTTAGTATGCGTGGAAGCCGGAATCTCCCGAAAGCGCAAGGGTGTTTCCCAAAAAACATCCATTCTCCCCTCCACTCAACCACAGATGCGCTTGGCTGATCCGAGGCTGCTGCGCGTCTACAGCCAGCATGCTGTGGGGCATCCTTCCGTTCTATCAAAAGTTCTTTTTTTGCAGTCCCTCGTCCGCTTCGCCACCAAAAAGAAGTCGCCGGCGACGGTGGGCTTCTCCGGCAAGCTGGACCCGATGTGCGACATCAACAATCAGACATTCGAGCACAAGGATGGGGGACGTCGCCATAGTATGCTGAAGCCGGACGCGCCGTTGAAGACCTATCTACACGAAGATGCCCGCACCCTCTATCAGGTGAGTTTTCAATTGCTCAAGGATTTCGGGTATCCATTCAGATGCTTCGTCGTGGCCAGCGAGTCTCGAAGCACGGCGAATGCCTGGGACAGCGTGTGCCGAAAGATGACTACACCAGCCCCTACGAGTTTATCACCTACGACGAGGTGGGTATCATGCCTTAGTCTTGATAATACAGGTTTTGGTGATATTTAACATAACTTGTGCGGAATGGTGCTCTCACAAGTGATTGCGCAAAGATCGGAATTTTGCGGAATTCCCGAAAAATAAAAATTTGTTTAAAAAACCATCCTGCTGGAGAACCGAACGAGTTTCAGAAGATTACTGTGATTTTTAAATCTTTAAGTCATAATCAAACAAAAAAAAGCAAGTTTCTCTACCTATGCCACTCTCTTCACCCAGGTTGTTGCCCGCTCGGAGGAGATGGCCGCGGCTCTCCTCTCGTTTGGTATCAAGCCCGGCCAGGACACCCGCATCGGCATCTTTTCGGCAAACCGCCCCGAGGTTCGTTTTTCCGAAGATATCCGTTGACGCAGACCGTTCAGTGGTTCCTCGTGGAACACGCGAGCTACGTGCACAACATGGTCAACGTGCCCGTCTACGCTACGCACGGTCCCGAGGAGTGCCTCTTCATCGTTAGGTGAGTTTGACTTTGGTGAGCTGCTGAAGAAATGGCTGATTAGGCAATCGGCGATGCCCTTCATCCTCTGCGATACTGTCGACAAGGCCGAGTCGCTGGTTGCGCAAGCCGATCGGGTGCCAGACTTGAAGGTAGTGCTCAAGAAGGGAACACTTGAGTCGCAAAAATTGCGGTGAAAAAGTCAACTTCCATGGCCTTTTGCAGGTGATCGTTGTGTGCGCACCGTTTGACTGCCAGCTCCGCGAGGACGGACAAAAGAGGGGAATTCAGGTAGAGAAAACAAATGCATTTCTATCCCAGATTGCAGATCCTCTCCTTCAGCGAGTTCGAGCAGCGCGGCCACGATTTCAAAAAGGTCCCGCCCACCCCGCCAAAGGTATTTCCGGTCTAGTGTGGCCCACCAACCGCAAAATTTAGCCGGACGACCTGGCCTCGATCTGTTACACGTCGGGCACCACCGGCGAGCCGAAGGGCGTCCAAATTTCCCACGGCAATATCGCCGCCGTGCACGCCATCTTTGGCCACTCGAATATGACCCATGATGACACGGTAGTGCCACTACGTTTCAGGGTACCATCTTTCCAGGTTCGCTACCTCTCCTACCTACCCGCCGCCCACATGTTCGAGCGCATCGGCCAGACGGCCGTCATGTCCGTCGGGGGCCGCATCGGCTTTTTCAGGTTGCAATTTTTCAACTGTTACTTCGCGAACACGCCGCTTCAGTGGCAACGCCCAAGAGGTTCTCGACGACTGCAGGGAATTCCGCCCCACATTCCTCATCACGGTTCCGCGAGTCCTCAACAAAGTCTACAACAAGGTACATCTACAGAATCAACCTATTAGATACCTAAACTGTCTAGATCTACGACCAGCTCCGCTTTTCCATCCTGAAGCTTGGCGTGTTCAATGCCGCACTCGCCTACAAGAAGGCTTTGCTTAGTCGGGGCATCATTCGCCGTGACACTTGGGCTGATCGCATGATCTTCCACAAGGTCCAAAACCTCTTTGGCGGCCAGCTGACCGGGCTTGTCGTCGGCTCGGCGCAGATGAATCCCGATGTGGGTTACAGTGCTTATTGGCTAGCACGGTGTGCATTTATAAACCCTGCCTTGAAACATAATGAACGTAATTTTAGTAAGGAACAGATGGAAACAATTTTTTCTGATACTTTTAGGTGCTCACTTTCTTCCGTGCGACGCTGGGCTGCGTGTTGCGCGAGGGCTATGGCCAGACGGAGAGCACGGCCTGTGGCACCGTAACCCTCGAGGGCGACCATTCGACCGGTCATGTTGGCCCGCCGGTGACCTCCGTCGAGATGAAGGTGAAAACCAGATCTCCGGCTCGACTACTCATTTTTTTGCAGCTGTTGCCCGTGACGAACCCGGAGAAAGAAGTCGACGCGTCGTGCGGGGAAATCTGCTTCCGCGGGCCAATCATCGCCCAGGGCTACTTCAAGGCTCCCCAGATCACGGCCGAGACATTCCTTTCCGATGGCTGGCTGCGCACCGGGGATGTCGGTAGGTACAGGAGGAGAGATTGCGTACCTCTAAACTGAAGCACTCACCTTTTTGTATTGTAGGGCGCTTCGACGAATGCGGACGCCTCGTCCTTGTCGATCGCATCAAAAATCTCGTCAAGTTGCCAAATGTGAGTAACAAACAGGTCTCAAAACCTACTTTATCAGGGAGAATTCCTGGTGCCCGAGAAGATTGAGGGTGTCTATCAGCAATCGCCGTTCGTCGAGCAGATCTATGTCCATGGCCAGGGCGATCGCAACGAGCTCGTGGCTGTCATCGTGCCCGACAAGGATGTGATAGCTGCCTGCAAACGGATAACCAATCCCTTTAGTACTTGATCAACTTCGCCGCCCGCGAGCTGAAGATCCAGGAGGAGTCTTTCGAAGACTTGTGCACCGACCGGGCCGTGCGCACCGCCGTCGCCAAGGCCCTGCGCGAGCTGGGCCGCGAAAAGGGACTGGCTTCCTTTGAACAGGTGACTAAACCCGAAAACCTTTTATCTAACTGACGTTGCCCCATTTTCAACACAATTTTTGAAGGTGGCCCGCTTCTACTTCACCGAGCAAGCGTTCACCGTCGAGAACGAGATGCTGACGCCCACCCTCAAGAACAAGCGCCCCATCATCGCCAAGAAGCACAAGATGGAGATTGACTGGATGTACACCAAGGTGCCGCCTTCCATCGTTTAAAAGTCCTTACCGCCCGCTCACAAGCCAGTCGTTGCTATTTTCCGGTTCCCAAAGTAATTTCCCAGAAGGAACCCAACCTCAGCTGCATTTTTTCAGCTCGAAGTCAACGAGTTCCGCGAGACACACTTTTAGACGGACGCCCTGCCCCACCCGAACCTTTCAAATTCCTTATCCATTTTCTGCGAAGCATATTTTCCCCTTGCTTGTGATTTACTCGTCTGCCCTTTGCGTAAAAGTTTAATAAATACTTTTTCAGTACCACCGATGGTCTAAATAATAATTTATGGAGCTATTGATGTTGGGGGGGGGCATCTTTTTTTTGGCGCCCAGTCTTAGGCTTAGGCTTAGCTTTGACTTCGCGCACGCTTGGCTTATACTTAGCTTAGGCCTAGGCTTTGCTTAGGCTTAGGCTTAGGCTTGGCTTAGGCTTAACTTAGGCTTGGTTTTGGCTTAGCTTAGGCTTAGTCTATGCTTAGTCTAGGCCTAGCTTAGGCTTGGCCCAGCCCTAGCTTAGGCTTGTCCTAGACTTAGCTTAGGATTGGGCTTAAGCCTAGGCTTGGCTTAGGTTATGCTTAGGCTGGGCTTGGCTTGGTTAGCTTAGACTTGGAGACAAGCTTAGGCCGGAAAAAACCTCCAAAAAAAAGATGCCCCCCCAACATCAATAGCTCCTAATTTATCGAAAACGATCGAATTTCCAACGAGTTTTTGCTCTGTCGGCTCAGTTGCGACGGCCGGTGCGGCGATATTCGCTGGATAATCGACCGTAGCCAGACCTGGGACGGCCAAAGGAGCCCTACGTCCATCGCCGTGTGTGGGCATTTTCTCTTCTCTTTTTCACTTTTATTTCGACTTTTTTTGCTTTTCACGCTTCCTGTCGGGTCTCTGCCCGATTTTTTCGTAATTTCGAGTAACTTTCCTTCTTAGACATGGGTATCACTCGTGACAGCTGGCACAAGCGGCGCGGTACCGGAGGAGCCCGCCCTCAACCTCATGACAAGGTGTGATCTTTGCAGTCTCCTAACCCTTGCTTTAGAGGAAGCACGAGCTCGGTCGTCCTTCCGCCAACACCAAGATTGGGCCAAAAAGGATTCACCAAGTCCGGTAAGCCGCCGCATTTTTGCGTTAATCTTGGTTTAGTTGCCGCGGTGGCTCCATCAAGCACAGGGCTCTGAGACTCGATGCTGGCAACTTCTCCTGGGCCTCCGAAGGAACCGCCCGCAAGACCAGGATTCTCGACACGGTCTACAACGCCACAAACAACGAGCTGGTGCGAACAAAGACGCTCGTCAAAGGGACGATTGTAACAAGTGAGTCGGCTTCATCTTGCAAGATCTGGGTTTTAGTCGACGCCCTTCCTTTCCGTCAGTGGTATGAAAATCACTACGCCCTCGCTCTTGCCCGCAGGAAGGGCCAGAAGGTCACCGAAGAGGAGCAGAAGGTCATCGACGACAAGAAAGTGTTCGTATTCCGTTATCTGCTTGTAACTTTTCTTTAGTGATGGAAAGCTGCCCAAAGAATACCTGTTGAGGCAAAGGAAGGCTGCTGTCGACCCGAACGTTGCTGAACAATTCGCCACCGGAAAACTGCTTGGTAATTTATTTTTCGATGTCCTGGAAAGACTTTTTTAGCCCGTCTCTCTTCCTCGCCCGGACAAGTCGGTCGCTGCGACGGCTACATCCTCGAGGGCAAGGAGCTCGACTTCTATCTCCGCAAGATCCGCGCCAAGAAGGCTAAATAAAAATCTTTTGTTTTTGTTGTTATTGAAAATAAATGTTGAATGTCTCGTCTTATTGCAGGCTTGGCTTTGAATGTCCGTAGACATTGTCGATACATTTTAAACAAATTCGAATTTCTGCTCAAACTAGCCTTTTGAGGTAATACAATGACTGTCGACGTTAGCTCGGCCGCCGGCCTCGACGGATTCAATGCCACCCTTGGCGACCAGCCGTTCGCCAACGGCTACACGCTATCTGGTGACGACGCTGCCCTGTTTGACAAGCTCGGAAAGCAGCCCGATGAGAAGAAGCACCCCAACGTGGCCCGCTGGTACAGAAACGTTGCCTCCTATGAGAAGAGCGAACGATCGGCGTGGTCGACCGCCGGCTCGTCTGCCTCAGCTGCCAAGGAGGATGATGAGGACATCGATCTGTTCGGCTCGGATGATGAGGAGGATGCTGAGAAGGCCGCGATTGTTGCCCAACGTTTAAAGGAATACCAAGAGAAGAAATCCAAGAAGCCCGGTCCAATCGCCAAATCGTCCGTGATCCTCGACGTAAAGCCCTGGGATGATGAGACGGACTTGAAAGAGTTGGAGGCGAAGGTACGAGGCATCGAGATGGACGGGCTCGTCTGGGGAGGCGGCAAGTTAATCGCCATCGGATACGGAATCCAGAAGCTCCAGATCATCTCCGTGATCGAGGATGCGAAGGTTTCCGTGGACGATCTTCAGGATAAGATCCAAGAATTCGAGGACCACGTGCAATCCGTCGACATTGTTGCGTTCAACAAGATCTAATGCAAGAAACCTGTGAAAAGATTGTTGAATGATTTTTTTGAATTTGAGGCATAAATTTTGATTTCGATCGGAGTTGTATTTATCATACATAGCAAGTTTGGGGTATGCCATTGCATGCCGCAGAGCCCTGTGGTTATCGAAGCATGCCAAGATCTGACGCCTGTTTGCGGTGGCCCCCTACGAGTTGCTAGTTTGCTAATTTGCAAATGCCTGAAAATGTTTGGTTCAAACTTTAAACGCAGATTCTGTCGAAAAGCTGGGGTCGGAACAACTACCAGTCTTCTGTGGTTTCTCACGAATGACTTTTGGATATGTTTGAGTGGTAGCCGTCACTTGGTAGACAGTTTGTTAATAGACCTTTATCGTCGTGAGCACTGAAAGGCTTTTTGCGGACCTTATCCCAGACATAGGCACAACGTCCATGGGAAGGTGAATTGCACACAAATTATCAACATACATATTGGAGCATAGGACGGTGGAATAGGAATTGCGTACCCATAATATGAGTGTCATTCGAGGAATGGACAACGGGGCGGTGGTAAAGCTGTGTTAGAACGATCTCGCACTGGTATAGGCAGATCGGGATAGGGATTGTGGACTAATGGAATTGGCACTGGAGTTCGACTAGAGAAAGTGAGACTACGTTGGGGGTTGGGCTACGGCAAAGTTCAGACGGAAGAAAAAGATCGGCCCGTATTCATTTAGAAAATCCTAGAGTCCGCCAGAAGCCTAGTCAGCTGCGAGAGGTGCTGTTCCCGTATACATCGTGTAGCCGTTCGTATTGGGCAATTTCGGAGTAGATGAGCGCTAAAGCAGATAGAGTTGTCATCAAGCCCACCACTTACTTTTCCATTCCTCAACCGTGTGTTCCTTCTTGTCAACCTCATTGTTATATTGTTCGGGAGGCGGGGCAAACACCTGCATTCTGGATAAAGGCCAAAAAAATAAATATACCTCAGTCTCATCGAACCACACATTCACATAGGGGTGTCGGAGGGCTTCATCCACAGAAATCCGATCATTGGGGTCGACAACCAGCATTCGGGAGAGGAGATCGCGGGCTTGGGCAGCTGAAGCTAGAGAATAAAAGGTGGAGCAATATTTTAATCCGAGGGTTTTGAAAAAAAAGCGTCAAGTGATGATTAAGACAGAGAGACCTCGATATGCTCACCTGTTAGACGGTTGTTTTCGGCAGGCTGTGGGAACATCGTATCGGGAAAGAGCGTCTCGAACGAGGTCGGCCGATACTGGGGCCGATTTTCCACATAATTCCGTACGGTTGCTTGGAGACGCTCGAGGAATTGCCTAAAATGAAATAAATATAAAGCACAAGGCTAGAAGTACCTAGATGGAGTTCCGAGCTGCTCAACAATCTTCGTCCATTGGTCAATATGGTCTGTCCCCGGAAAGAGGACGCGGCCCTTCACCAGTTCACCGAATATGCACCCAATCGACCAGATGTCCACTGAAAAATGAACATTTGAAAAGAATGAGGCCACTTCGCAGAACGATAAGAACGAAAACGGCGTTTTTGAATGGCTATCACAATTAATAACTAAACTCACCATTAGCAACATAACCCATGCCTAGAATAACTTCCGGCGCCCGATAGTATCTCGTCACCACATAGGGGAGTCATCATGAAAGACTCACAGGCACTCCTAAACGATTTTTAGCTGTTTTCTTCCTAAGAACCAACCTTGCCAAGCCAAAATCGAGAATTTTCAGCGTGCAATCGCTCTTGACAACAATGTTGGAAGGTTTGAGATCCTGGAATCGAACTATATAGAAGTGTAAGGCGTTTTCACTCGATGGATAATTCCGGCGGCGTGGAGATGACGAATGCCACAGAGCATTTGGTAGAGGAGATAAGACAATCGTTCGTGGTCGAGATCCATGTTGATCACCTGCAAAAAGAAACGGATGAAATAGTTGAAAGACGAAATAAAGAAAGGCTATTGCTAGTTATTAGACAGGGATAATGGTTTATAAAGAAAAAAAAAGGAAGTAATAGTATCTATCTCACGACGGAAACGGCTGAAGATTATAACCAGAAGTTGAAAACCCTCACCTGACATAAATTTGCATCCATCAACTCCATGACAATATACAGATCGTTGAAATCGCGCAAGGATCGTTGCGGGGTAAATGCGTTGAGCAAACCGATAATCTAAACAAATCTATGATGAAGGAAAACGACTCCTCACATTTTTATGATGAACCAGGTTCATAAGCTTGAATTCTCGATAGGCCCTCTTCGCGTGGGTAACGTTTTGGAAGGGCCTCGACAGTTTCTTGATAGCCACTGCTTCATTCCGGATAACATCATGTGCAGCACTAAAAAGTATCTTTAGTAAAGAGACTAAAGAAAGAGCGAAGTGATAAAAAAACATATCCCTTACCAAACAATCCCTTGTGCCCCGGAGCCAATGACGCGTAGATTTTGATAGCGCTTGAGCACGGTCAATCGCGTGTCACCTAAAGAAACAGTAGCTCCAAGCAAGAAAAATCAAACGCACCAATTTCCATAGAATAATAGGGATCGTCTGCGGTTGATGTGGCTGCCATTGTCGCACCCGATACACTGAAAATCGAAAGATAAGGCAAGAACTGGAGCATGAAGAAGAACTCGAGCGGCGAAATAAGGAAGGGCGCAACGAATCATGAAGTTAGAGTAAGGAAACAGAACGAGAAAAAATACCTGCGTAAAGATCCGATCGGGGTTGATGGGCAACTGTCCAGTGAGATCGGCACGTCGTCGCGACCCCCGGATCCGAGCCACTAAAATGCGAATTGGAAATAAATAATGAAGAAACGGTTGTTGTAAACAAAGAAAAGATTGTCTATAGAGGAGATGATAAATTCTGCGCATTTTCCGGGGTTAAAGGGTATCTAGCCAAAATCCTATTGTAATGCCGTCGTTAAAAGAGTGACAAGCGCCCGGAGGCGACGTTTCTTTGTCGATGACAATGTCGCAAAAACTACAGCGCCGGGGATCAATGCTGGAAGGGGGGAGGGGCCCGACCCCGGGCCCGGGTTTGTATGGAAATGAGAGGCAAATGGGCACAGAGCACAGAGGGGGACAAGGCATTGGGTTCAGCCTTAGGGCCCAGTTTCGGGCTGGGCCCTAGGGGGGCATTCGAATTCGTGGGGTGTGTGCACCAGAGGCCGAATTCTGGAGGAGGAGCTGGGGAATGGGCAAGGGAACAGGATAAAGCGGAGGGGACAGCGCACGGGCATTGGCCTCTCTCACTCTTCGCGAGCCCTCGTCCCCCCGCTACACAACTCATCGATCTGTGCGTCGTCTGTCTGTCCCCCTTGTTGCCCGCTTTCTATTTTCTGGTCTCCCCCTTATTCCCGACATCATGCTCGTGCTCAAGCTGTTCGGCTGACAACAGAATATGGTCTAAATTCAGCGAAAAAGTCCTTGGAATCCGTGTGAAACCCGGAAAATAGAAATTCAAACAGAATCGGCGAGTGGCGGCGAAGAATAGACACGAAGTTTGTAGGGGACGGCCGAAAAAAATATTAGCTTTTGCTTCTACGCCTAGAAAACTAAGGAGAAACGCAGATGCGAAAAATTATCAACCAAGAAATCTATTAAAACGCCTTCCGAGTCACAATAACAAAAAACGCAAAGGAATTTAAGGTTTTTAGAGGCACATAGGTCGATGACATGCCGAAACACCCTACAAAATTCCAAAACTGGGGGCGGTCCCCTGCTTCAGAATTGAATGCAAAAAACATGACTCATCGGGGGCGGATGACTCAGCTAGCACGGTAATCTGCCGTATGGTGGGAAAATAGGGAGCGTACGGAGAAAATTGGAGAATCAAAAATTGTTCGATTAGATAAAAAACTCAACATTACTTAGACATCCGTTTCGAAATTTTCAGAAGAATGCAAGAATGAAGACTGTTGAGATTACTAGTAAGATTGTTGACAGCAACTATCCAGATTCAATTTTTGAAACTTGGTAAAGGCTATCCACAATTCGTAAAGTATCTTTTTCAAATGATCTCCCTGAAACCGATTAGGGGCTCGACGGGAAGAGTGGGCCGAAAATGGGCCTACCGCCGCCTCCAGGGGCTACGGCGAGCGGCCACCCCGCCAGCTGGTTTTTATGGTAGTCTGGCCGGGGCAGGGTTTAGAATAGAAGAAACATGGGGAAATAGGCGGAGGAAAGGGTTAAATTTAGAGAAATGTAGGGCTAGCCGGCTAGTCAGTGAACATGTCCAGGCTCAACAAAAACAGACGTGTTATTTTCATTTTAGCGGAAATTACAATGTCTAGTTCCACTTCTGGATGACGCCTCCACCCTTGCGACCCGAAAACTTCTTTTTAGGACTTTTGTTAGGCTTATTGAAAAATGTTTTCAAATCCATGCCTCGCTTAATAGGAATAATATAACATATTGGTATAAAAAATATTGCTCAAACTGGAACTGGCACTTCTCGGTCAAAAATTCCGTCGGGTCGCAAGTGGCGTTCCAGCTTTACGACAGTTACAGAGTTTTCGTCGTAACAAAAATTTCGACAAATAGAAATTTCGAAAATAATTTTCGAGCAATTGAAGTTCAATATTCTCCGGGAAAGTCAAAATATACCTGTGAAACGGAGTCGATGATTGAGGACAGATGGCCTCGGGTGCCCCTGATGATGTTTCCGATTGAAGCGGCACCCATCGGCCCCTCGGTGGACGAGCTGGATGCTCCTGGAATTGACCTTTATCTACGAAAAAATAACAGGACCGTGTACTTTTGGCTATCTGATCCAACTGGCACCGCTTTTGCGGCTAAAGATTTTGCGGTAGATAGGGTGCCATAGGAATAGTGCAACAGTCTGTGGCTTGCCTCGTGTTTCCAGGTTTTGCTTGGCACAAAAAAAAATATTTGTTAAAGCCGTATTCAGGAGTTTTTCGCAAGATTTTTAAATTTTTGCAGGTGCCCTAAACAAGCACCGTGGTCACCATCGAGTCACAATTTTTACACATTTGAAAAGCTCTCAAAATGGCGAGAAAACCAGTGCTTTTGGTTACCTCGGGTGGGTACTTGTTGCCAAACAAGACAATTCCCCACTGCGCCGCATATACACATCCCGACGAAGGGTACACCACTGGGCAATCGACACCCTTGAAGACAAGGTACTGTAGCTCTCCCCTAGGAAATCACGCCCAACTCGAGTCGATGCGGAATGAGCTTTGTTGTCAGCAGATACAAATTCCGACCCCGGCGGCCAATTCGATAAAATAGTGCATCCGAAAACGGCCGAAATAATGAGGGGGGAAAGGTGGGCCACCGGGGAGGAGGGTCTCAGGGTTGCCAGGGGAAGTACTCGGCCCATTCACTGACTCACTTCTTCTCAGATGAAAGACTTTTCCCGGGCTCTGGCTGTAATTAGTCCTCATCAGCAGATGCTAGTCACCAAGAGGGCGGGCTGCCATGATTTGGTTCTGTGATGCCACGTCTTTAGTGTATATGAAGAACTAAAGGGATCAGGAAGGTCCAAAAGATCAGGGCTCATCTATAATTGGCAACGAGCCAACCGGAAATGCAAATGTAAAAAAAATGGGCAGAGAGTGGGGCGAAGCGGGCGTAAGCAGAAACGATTTATGCGAATTTTAGAATTAACGAATGTTTTATGCTAGTTTTTCCTGGGCCTTCTTGAACTCTTTAAAAGTACGCCGTTTACCTCCCGCCAGCCGACCCCACCTACCGTATCTTTCGCGAAAAAGAGCATAATTACAATTTTACAAAGGGGAACAAGTTCGCCGAAGCGGGGCGTACGGTAATTTTCCTAAAAATTTTTCTAGCTTTTTATCTTGAAAAATTTACGAGAATGGTTTTTAGCAAACGAAAATTCGGCATAAGGAGTACGATGAGCTACATTTAGTACAATAATAGCCTTTCCTTCACCTACGTTTTTTCCGTTCCGACGGCACCTTTGCGTCGGCCAGCCCCCAAAAGTGGGGCCCAAAAGAATAAATTAGCTGATTGACGTCGAGCAACTAGGACTTGACAATAAGTATTCGATAGGCCAGCCGGGTATGGCTGCGGAAAGTATCGGATTGTGGACCTAACCCCAAACCCGTGCCCTTCAGAAGGAGAAGACTCCCACGCGGATCTGCCCCGAGGGCATCCACTCGAAAGCCCTTCCCTCGCTCTCTCTCTCTCTCTCTCTCTCTCTCTCTCTTCGTGTTTTCGTTAATTTCTAAAAGGCTTCTTCCTCCTCTTCCCATCCCTCCACTAGTCATCCCAGCTTTGCTACTTTTTCGCTCCGGTCCCCCAGGTAACGATGTGCCCTCCTCTCGGGCTCGAAATCCTAAAGTGCATCACGACAGATTGGTGCTCCTACTCCTTTTTAAGCACTTTCTCCCCCGTAAGCTGCCTTGGTTCGAGGATCCTTGCGGATTTGCGGAGGCCCCGTCACGACTATTCGGCTCCATCCCTGGCCCGAGAAACTCAATAACAGGCTCTCGCCTGTGTACATTGTAAAATATCGTAGTAGGCCGTTGTGTGAGGAGCGTTGCGTAGTTGTCAAAATGTGTCCAAAATGGCCTACCCGTTGAGCGAGCGATGGCGTGCTGCACGACGCAATCATCCACGGGTGAGTCCATGCAAGATATCTGGAAAATGGCTAGTTTTGAAATCACCTATTACAGGAAAATTTGAAATTAAATCAGATCAAAGCCGTTAAACCTGGCAAGCAATGGTTCTGGATCATTAGCGGGGGCTCTAGGCCGCCAATAGGTCGATTGGGTAAGGGAAAGCGGGTATTCCCCCGCGCTAATGAACCAAAACCGAAGCGACGCGAGCAAGTTCCGTGACTGTACGCTACGTCAAAAATGTATTGCAATCAATTTGTCGACAAGCATTTTGTCCAAATTTCATTTTTTCGAAGTTTCAATACCCTAATTTTTCGATTTGAGGAATCTTTGAGCAGAATAATCGGGGCATTGAAATTGAAATGTCGATAAAATGACATTTCGACAAGATGAAATTTCGAAAAAATGAAATTTCGGCAAATTGATATTCGACAAAATGACAATGTCGTTAAAAATATCTTAGAGAACGGAATCTTACGACAGGATGGTTGATGGCACGGGACTATTGCCGGCGGGGAGCAGCCAGTTTTTACCCAGAAAGTGCGTGTAAAATGTTGTTACGAAAATGCTTGGTCGTACTGGCTGGTGTTGAGGCCAGAGATTTGGTTCTTCTCAAATCCCCCGGCCCAGATATAAACGGCTTCCCCCCGCCCAACCCCACTTGACCCTCCAGAATTTATGGGATGGGGACGGCACGGCGAATTGAGTTTTTTTATTACCCTTAGGTTTCCGTAAGAATACTATGAACTTTAGCATGTTTTAGCGATAGATAAGAAATGGAGATTCAGACCCGGCGGAGGTCTGGCTTTGCTTGGAATTGACGAGGGGCCGCGGTTCGAAATGGGCGAAAAGCATTCGGATCGAATTTCACACCTGAACTGGGCGCCCGAATCTGCGTATGAAATTTCGATGAGAGTACATAACTAAAGCATAATAAAGTAGCGCAGGTCTAATTCAAATCAAATGCACGTTTTGATGTTTAGTATTCGAAAATTTAGAGATTTTAAGAGGAACCAAAAACTTAATCCAATCCGCAGATTTGAAGTTGGCTTTAATTTGAAGAACAACATTTTTAGGGTTGGCCTAGAATAAACGCGTACGGCTAAAGGGAGAGTGCCATAAATTCATCGAGTAAGCGGTATTTTTTGCATGATCGGGGGGGGGGGGGGCTATGGGTACCAGCTTCTTTCCTTTGCATGAATTTTTCTAAAATCATAGAGAGTTTTTCGAACTATTTGTTGATATTCTTAAACGTAAAACATACTAGCGTATAGCAAAAACAATTTTCGTTTTCCGAAATAAAAATTTCCATTTTTTGAAACTTAAAATGTTGTTAAAGTTTCTTAGAGCCATATAAAATTATCGAAATTGTACCAAAGATACTATTAAATACTTTCGATGCGTTACTAGGCATTTCCGGTACTAATGCGCAAGATCTCAAAACGCCATCACTACTATCGGCAAATTTTTGCACGAAAGCCGCGCAAATGGGGAGAGCAATCACCCTCGGCTTTGGGGCGCATCTTCGATAATCCGTATGGTAACGAGAGAAATAAGAAAGAAACGAATCGATCGCCGGCCAATCCGGGGCCCCTCGATTTGGTCCTCATTAGATAGGGCGGTCACCGGTTCGGGAGCAGTCGCTCCATAACGAAAAACATGGCTGAAATCCCGGGGCTTCGTCGGTGTGGGGCAGGAATTCTCTGCTAATTGGAAGTGGCGAAGAAAAAGGGGGGGAAGCCGAAATCTCGGCTGAATTTTCGCACGGGCAAGTGGTAGAAATTGTGCAGACACAGAAAAAGAGTCGACAATTGTAAGTGTCGACTAGCGAACCGAAAATCATTTTGTCGAAATTTCAGTTTGTCGACATTTCATTTGTCGACATCTAATCTTGTCGAGATTTAGTTTTGTTCAATCCGCTGAAATGTCAATTTGCGAAATGTTGAGATGAATAATTTTGCCCAAAAAACCATTGAAATTTCGACAAAATGATTTCCGAAATGATGGCAAATTTTTTTCCTTGATAAAAATTGCTGAGTTTCTGGTAGTTAGACTCGCAAAATAAGACCACAAAAAGGATCTACCCCCCAGAGTTCCAGCGGAAATTGAGGTCCGCGACAAAATCAAATTCCGCGAAAAGCCGCTAGCTATGGCTACGCGTTTACCAGGAAAATATGCTCTCATTCAACAAACCCAAAGGTCAAAATCTTTACGAGCTTCGTGAAAATTCTGCGCACACCTGCATTAATGAATTTTACAGAATCGAGCGTGTACGTTACGCATACATCCGCTCCACCGACAGAGAAATGAGGGTTTCCGGTCGTGGAGATGAGGGGGGATATGTGGGGAATATCGGCTTTTGGCCCCGGGGCTTCTCGGATCTAATGAGAAGCACGACCGGGAGGGGGGACAACCCGATTTACTGGGATGACGTTGCTGGAGAGGGGATGGCTAAGATGGGATCATAGGGTTCGACGGATAGAATAGGGCGCGGAGGAGATGATATTCACTAAAGCGCATGTTCAAGGAGTTGTACGTAGACACCTATGAACATTTGCATCGTTATTTTTGCCGCAGTATCTTCATGTAATTTGGTGTATATCGAGTAATGCCGAAATGGGAAGGAGAAGCAAAAGCGTACTCCAAGCCAAACTACAAAAATAAAACTGGCTCATGATCTAGCGTAAGGGGCGGATCAACGGATTCCAGGAAGTCAGATGAAAAGCCCTTTTCCCTGAGAGTCGAATGATGTACTGGACATGGTATGTTGATCACTATCAGATGAGTAATATAAGAAAAGCAACGCCAAGACTACCCGCGGATAGCCCGAGGACATAAATGTGTATGTGGGTAGAGGGGGATGGGATGCGGGGAATGATTTGTGTAGAAGAGGGAGGAGAAGGACCCTTCTTGTTGAACCCAAAGTAGCCAGCGAGAGAGTGAGTGAGTGAGAGAGAGAGAGAGAGTGAGAGAGAGAACGCAGCAAGAAAGAGAGGGAATAGAAAGGGGCCCCTGAGGGCTTCAGCAGGAGAAGGGGAGAGATGACGTCTTCACGGCCTCGGATCGATGGGCCACCGCTTA